GTGCCTCTCTGCTCCCGTTGGGCAGACTCAGGCGCATGTTGGCAGTTAAGGTAACGTCTGTCCTGCTGCCGCCAGAATCGAGGTGCTGGGATCTTCCACTGAGCCTTTGACTGCTCCCAAGTGCCCGTGTCCCCCCATGGTGCCACCCTGCTGTGGTATGGTTGCCAGGGCAGAAAAGGGATTGCTCTATTAAAAGAGAAGAGCAGGACCCAGAGCAATAGTACAGCAGGGATGACACTTGCCTTGCACTCAGTTGACCCAGGTTGATCCCCAGCGTCCCATATGGCCCCCAAAGCCCTGCCAGAAGTGATTTTGGAGCACAGAGCCAGGAGTAAGTCCTGAGCAAAGCTTGGTGTGGCCCAGAAACCAAGTCACAGTGTAATCCCACTACTTAGCATCTGAGATGGGATTATCCTGTGGGACTGAATTTATAACCCACGGTGGGACCTGCGCTACGAGTCATGTGAGGATTGGGTCAAGTTGAAGACCACCCCCAGGTGTCTTTGGAGAGCTGGAGAAAGCACCCTCGACCAGGAGCCGGAGCCAGGCTCAGGCCATGGTCAAGGCTCAGGGTGGGGGGCATGGGGGAGAAGCAGAGCACAGCAGGTAGAGCGTCTGTCTTGCATGCGGCTGACCCAGGTTCGATCCCTGGCATCCCATGTGGTTCCCCAAACACCACCAGGAGTAATCCCTGAGCATCGCCCAGTATGACCCAGAAACCCCCAAAAAAATTTTAAAGGCTCTCAGGGGTTCTACTCTCCATCTCTCTGGTGAAATTGCTGAGTTCAAAGCATTCTGTTCCCTGGGCAAGGAAAGGCAGAGCAGGGAGCGAAGGGAGAATGCTGGGCTCCCGGCAGGACTCTCCAGTTCTGTCCTTTGGAGTGGGCTGTGAGGAGAGCTGTGGTGGCATTTGAATCCCAGCGCCCACCTGACCTGCTGTGTGACCTTGGCCTTATCAGGTTGAAGTCCTTTGTGAGCTAATCCCATCACATGCCTAGGGCCCTGCGCCGGACCCCTTAGGGGAAGCTGGGTGACAGTCCTACACTCCATCACTGGCTGCCCCATGACCCTGACCTCGCCCTCACCCACTCCTGTGCCCGGGACGTGCCTTCACACCCGGCCCTCTATGCATCTTAGAGCTGCCCACGGTCTGAGGAGGACAGAAGAGTCTGGGGGCTTAAAAGTCCAGTGGCCCTGAGAGCTTTCAAAAGGAATGAATAAGGGGCTGGAGCGAGAGTACAGTGGGGAGGGCACTTGCCTTGCAAACAGTCAACCCAGATTCAATCCCTGGCACCTTATATGGTTCCCTGAGCACTGCCAGATGTGGCCCAAGAACAAACAAACAAAAAATAAATAAATAAATGAATGAATTTGATTTGATTGGTGCCAGGAATCGAAGCCAGGGCCTCACATGTACCAAGCATATGAGCTACATCCCTGACCTTAATGGATCTCAAGTAATCAGTGTTTGGACACTGGACTAATGACAAGCTGGGATCCTCCAGCCGCCGAACCTGCACAGGCCCCCAGGCTGAGCTATGCTTCCCGAGCAGGGGAGAGTCGGTGCTGAGTCAGGCCCTGCACGCAGGAGGCTGGGGTCAGTCTCCACCACCATGTGATCCCCGGAGCAACACCACCAGTAGTGTTCAAGAGCGCAGAGCCAGAAGTAAGACCTGAGCACCTTCAGGTACAGGCCCCCAAACACAAAGTAGCACGAGAAAAATGGAACAAGCAGAAAGGCCACATGAGCTGTAAGAGCAGCAGTGACTGGGGGTAGGTGCGGTTATTCCCGAGTACAGACTGAGGTATGGTTTCGAGATCAGTACTCACCCAAGCACCTTACACTCGGGATCCGGGCTGCCTGGCCCTCATCGTGGGGCTCTTCATCATGATGATTTCAGAAGGACAAGCCTGACAGAGGCAGCTGGGATGGGACCAGCATGCATCAGTCCCTACATCCCAGGGGCTGTGGGTGTCACAGGAGGCAGGAGGGAGGCAGGAGCCCCGTGTATCTGTTCTTCCAGCCCAGATGCTCAGGACTGCGTGGGCTGCAACACATCACCTAGCCTGGGCTCCATACTCAGGCTGGCACAGCCAGCCCCCTTGAGCACCGGGGGAGGCCTGTCTCCCCCGCCCCCCCCCCAAAAAAAAAAACAAGAACATCTGTGTGTTTCCAAAATGGGAACAGAATGGACCGGGGTTTTCTTGACCCAGCTGGAAATAAACTGCCGGCAGCAAAGCCCATCTGTCAGGGTGCCTGGGCACACACACCAGGGTCACGAACATGGCCTCAGGCAAATGGTCTGGGCTGAGCCAGTGCAAAACTGAGCTGCCATAGCCCGGGCACCCCAGTTCGGGGTGCAGAGTGAGGTGCCATGCCCTGGCAGACGCAGTAAGCACCCGCCGCCTCCCCTACTCACAGACTTACCTGGCCGCCCTCATTGAGGTTTTTCCACTCATCTTCCTGAGACACATTAACTGACTAGAAGCACATGAAAATGGCCTCATCTACGCAGAGACAGAGGTGGGCAGTGAGGAGGGGGCATTCGGAGCCTTTAAATCTTGGGGATACATCAATAGCTCATGTTCTCATGAAGGGGGTGTGCAGGAATTAGAGAAATAAGTGCATGTATTTGTAAGCACTAGGATGAAGAGTATAGGACCAGAGCGAATACTGCGGGTAGGGCATTTGCGTTGTGCAGACTGACCCAGTTTGATCCCCAGTACTCCATAGGGTTCCCTGAGTCCCACCAGGAGTAATTTCTGAGCACAGAGCCAGGAGAAACCCCTGGGCATCGCCAGATGTGGTCCCCCACCAAAGGGGGAATAAAAATGTTGGGAGGTTTGAGGGTGGCGAGGGATAGAGTTGCCCGTCACCTCCCCTGAAACTCATTTTTGAGGGATGCAGGGAGAGGGGTTGTTTAAGACTTTCCCCCATCTTTTCTTGTTTTTCAAATTGGAAGTCTCCGCACACAGTTCCAAATTGAAGGCTTCTTTTGAGAAATTGGATGAAGTGCCCTTCCCGTTCCAGTGTGGTGGAGCTCATCTGCCTTTCTGAAGGCATCTTCAGTCCCACGCCCACCTCCCCTCAGCCCTCCACTTCACAAGACCCCCCCCCCCAAACCCATGCCCACCTCCCCTCATCCCTGCCCTTCACAGACCCACCAGAACTGCGCCCACAACCCTTTAATCTACCTGTGGGTCTTTCCACTTTCAACCCTTTCTCCACTCCGTCCCGTGTGCCCCCTGCAGGAATGCGCCAGTACTCATGGGGACCCCTGGAGAGGGGGGCCCAGGAGAGGAGCACACTCTTGTTCCCCAGCCCTTTCTCCTTCCTCTGGTTCTCACTTTCACAGAGGCTGCACCTCATCTCACATGCACTTCACCGATCTGCTTCATGCCTCCCTCGGTCTCAAGCTCACTCCATTCCCCAGGACACAAGTTAGGAAAAGTTCCTGCATGCATGTGTGCGAATACTCTCCTCATGCACATGTGCCGTATACACGCTCCCATACACATGTATGTACACACATCTGCAGTACACTTGTGCGTGTGTGCCCTCTCCACCAAAAACACTTGAGTCCCAGACCGGAGTAGTTGTCCTGCGCCAATTCCCAGGGGAGGGAAAATTCTTGGCCCCAACCCAGCCCGCGACTGTCCTGACCAGAGCCATTCCAGTGCAGGAGGAAGGGGACACAGCTGCTGGGGCAGCCAGTGGGGTGTGCCCTGGACCACGTCCCACTCTTGCCCCTTTCTCCCCAGCGAAGGGTTTCATCCTCCAACAGTAAAAGGTACTGATGGAGGGAGACGATCCCATGAACCGCATGTCTTCCCAGGGCCTGCACCTCCCAAGCAAAATGACATGGCAGGAAGGATAGGCAGCGTCTGTCCAGGCACCGCTCTGAAGCCTGGGAGCCCCTGTGAACAAGACAGGCTCCACTGCTCTTCTGGACCCGTGAAACTGGTCATGGGGACAGATCAGATGGATAATGGACAAAATACGGGTCCTAGCAGGTCCCAGACAAAACCAGAGAGTAGGGTGGGTTCTGCCCACACAAAGGGGAGTCGGGGAAGGCTGCTGGCCTGGTGGAAAGTCCAGGCAGACCCCCAGATGTCCGGGTGGGGGTTGGGGTGTCAGGGGAACAAAGATGAAGGCACAGGATCTTAGTTGGGGTAGAAGACATCAGGGAGACCCACACAAGAGCCAGGGCCCGGGGGGGGGGGGGGGGGGTTGCGGCAGAAGGAATTTCAATTTTGTTGGGGTGCAGCAGGAAGTTACTGGGGAGACCTTAGCAAAGAAGAGGCAGGAGCAGACGAGTTTGTGGCATGTCTCAGCCACACCGCTTTCTAGAAGGTTCCTCCCCATGCCCGTTGATGCCCGCCACACCCCCCCACACACACACTCCTCAGGCTGGTGGCTGAGCGGTCTCCATGCATGGAAGCCGTAGCGCTGGGGGCATGTTTAGCAGTAGTGCAGGGGGTGGGCTCCACAGGGCCAGTGAGCCCACTCCTGCCACAGGAGCATGAAGGTAAAGCTGGGGGCGCAGGCCGTGAAAGACATGGGGAGAAACTGAGGCAGGGCATGTGCCAAAGCAGAGTCTGGGTCTTTATTTGGATCCAGAATGAACCCCAAGAGACAAGCGCCTGGAGGAGCCTGACCGAGAATGCTGTGTCCCTACCTGGCTGGGTGTGGTAACAGGTCACGGTGATTTTTTTTTCCCAAAGACTTTGTCAGCTTTATCAAATGGAAAGTGTTCATAAGCAAATCGCCCTACTGTCTGGGATTTCCTCCGAAATACTCTGTCCCCAAAGCAAACAAGAAGCGGAGGTGGGGCAGAAATGGCAGGTAGTTCCTGGGCGTCAGAGCAGAGCAGGAGGGGCTCCTTTCTGCATCCGAGAATGTCTGGAAAGTTCCACACTGAATGACTCCTGACGCTGGTGGAGCCGTCCTCTGGGCTCGGCAACCTCCCAACTCACCTCTGCTCTTTCTCTCTTCGCAGCATGGCCGGGGAGACGCCTCAGCAACTGACCAGCCCGCGCCCGCCGCACACCACGGCCTGCTGAACCCCTTGGCACGGAGCTGCCGGGACAGCGCCCACCTCCTGAGCGTGTCCAGCTCAGCTGCCCACAGCGATGGTGGAGAGCTGGCCGCCACAGGCTCACGACCTTCCCGACAGGCTTCAGGGCCCGCTTCCTTCCTCCTGGGACTGGTGGCCCTCAACAATGGCTGAGGGCCAGGGGACCCCCTAAAGCCCCTCCACACTCTCCAGGGGCCAGCAGCACTCCCGTGCCCGTGGACGATGACCACTTATCGGCCCCTTCCCAATGATGGCGTGGACCTGGCCACCAGCTGTGGAGCCCGGTCCGAGGGCCTCCCGGGGGACTACACTCCCATGGGATTCTGGGTCCAGAATGGGGGCCTGGCCCAGCCGCTGGGTGAGAGCCCGGCCCCGGCCCCCACACGCCCCAGCCCCACCACCCCCGCAGTGCCCAAGATGGGTGTGCGTGCCAGGGTGGCCGACTGGCCGCCCAAGAGGGAGGCCCTGAGAGAGCAGAGCAACCCCAGCCCCTCCCAGGACACAGATGGCACAAAGGCCACCACGGCAGCCCCCCCGCTGCGGAACATGCAGAACGGACAGCCCCCTGCCAGCGGCCCAGCAGCCTCGGGGTGCCGAGCCTTCCACCGGCTCTCCAGGAGGCGGTCCAAGGACGTGGAGTTCCAGGATGGGTGGCCGCGGTCCCCGGGCAGGGCCTTCCTCCCTCTGCGGCACCGCAGCAGCAGCGAGATCACCCTCAGTGAGTGCGACGTGGAGGACGCGGGCGAGCCACCGCGGGGGGGCCGGCACCCCGGGGCGCTGCCCCTGTTCCGGGAGTACGGCAGCACATCCTCCATCAACGTGCAGGCCGTGCCCGAGCAGAGCTTCTTCGACATCCTCAATGAGTTCCGCAGCGAGCAGCCAGTGCCCCGGGGTTCCCAGACCCTCAATCACCTCCTGCAGGCTGACCCGGGGGCCCCCCTGGCAGGTACGCCTCGCCCCGGGCAGCCCGCCCAGGACCACCTCCTCCCACTGCAGCCCCTGAAGGAGAAGGAGAAGGCCCGCCGGAAGGCGATGCGGGGCCCAGGCGGTGGGGACAGTGTGGACTCCTCCATCTTCCGCAAGCTGAGGAGCAGCAAGGGGGAGGGGGAGGCGGGCCGGGCGCTGGGGGAGCCCGAAGACAGCCGCAGCCCCCCTGAGGTGGGCCGGCCCTGGGTGTGCCAGAAGAGCTTCGCCCACTTCGACGTGCAGAGCATGCTCTTCGACCTGCACGCCGCCGCTGCTGCCAACCGGGGCTGCCCCGCACCGCGCCGCAACACCACCACGGGGGCCTCGGCCGCCTCGGCCACCGCCTCGCTGGCCGCCGGGGCGCGGGCCCACGGCCTGGGGGGCCTGGACCCCACCTTCCCCAGCACCGAGGACCTTAACTGCAAGGAGAGCCTGGAGCAGGACCTGGGCGATGACAACAGCAATGAGCTGTTACTCAGCTGCCCGCACTTCCGGAACGAGATTGGGGGCGAGCGCGAGCGCAATGTCAGCTTCTCCCGGGCGTCGGCAGGCTCCCCTGGGGGACCCGGGCCTGAGGGGCGCCCACCTGAGCCCGCCCTCAGCGCCTACCGCACCAACGCCAGCATCTCGGTGCTCGAGGTGCCCAAGGAGCAGCAGCGGACGCAGAGCCGCCCGCGGCAGTACAGCATCGAGCACGTGGACCTGGGCGCCCGCTACTACCAGGACTACTTTGTGGGCAAAGGTGAGGGCGCCCGCTACACCCCTGCTCCATCTGGCGCGCTATGCGAAGGGCCTGAGGGGAGACAGGGAGCCCCGCATCCACCTTCAGGGTGGAGGGGCTGGTGCTGCGAACAGGTGCCTGTGTGCCAGGCATTTCCTGGCCCAGCTCAAGAGAAAGTTGTTGTCTTGCTAGCACTTAAGTGTTTAAGGGGGTAAACCAGAGAGCGGGGTAGAACAGGTGAGTTCGGTAAGTGCTGAGCTACAGAGGTGAGGGAGGGAGCCGGGTGGAGGTGGTAGGGGGCCCAGGAAGGAGATGCGAGCAGTGACAGGGTGCCAGACAGCTGACAGCACTGTTTCCCCTCCAGGAGGTACAAACCAGCCCGCTGTTCCCAGAGCCCTCTCACAGGGATCACTGTTGTGGCCTGTGCAGTGTTGTACCCAGAGAGCGGTGGGTTTCATCCATCCCTGGGATCACCGATGCTGCCGAGGCAGTCCCAGAAGGCCACGCAGCGTCTCTGCGAAGACCCCATCACAGGGGAGACAGGAAGATGTGTGTTGCACGTGTGAGGGCTGGGCCAGGGCTCCACTCCTCAGCTCCAACCCGTGCGTGTCCAGGACACACCAGCCCAAGCTCGCGGCCTTCCTGGGTTTTCAGGGTTCTGGAATTCCGATCTTTCCAATGTGGTCTCCTAGTTTGTATGCATGTGGATAACTTGAGGAGGCGGGGACGCACAGACAGAGCGTAGGGCCCCATACTACCTACCGTGCCGTGTACTCCATCTGATGAACCTTGTGAGCCATCCCTGCCCCACTCCCCGCAAGTTTCAGATGCTGCCAGGTATATCAGTTCAGAATTGCTCACTACTAGTAACTTACCCTACGTAACCACACACTTACCCTGCTTTGATGTTTACTCTTCTCATAAAGAAGTCCAGCCTGGGGCCAGGGACATGGTTCGGTGGTAGAGCTCTTGCCTTGCACATAGAGTGCCTGGCTGGATCCCCAGCGTTGCCAGAAAAATTTTAAATCAGAAACAAGAGTTCCAGCCTGCTACTGACCTCCCAGGGCTGGGCCAGCTCCTCGTCAGCATGCATAGAGTGCTCATGTCAGTGCTCAACCCGATTTTGGTCCCAGCTTCCCATAGGGCCCCCCCAAGAACCCCTAGAAGTGTTCTCTGAGCACAGAGCCAGGGATGTGGCCCCAAAATTTAAAAAAAAAAAAGCACTGTTCGTGACCTGCCAGTCTTCTGTGGCATGTGGTCTCAACTCTCAGTCTCCAGGCAAAAAAAAAAAGGAAACGGGGCTGGAGCAATAGCACAGCGGAGTAGGGCGTTTGCCTTGCATGCGGCCGACCCGTGTTCGATCCCCGGCATCCCATATGGTCCCCCAAGCACCACCAGGAGTAATTCCTGAGCGCAGAGCCAGGAGTGACCCCTGAGCATCGCTGGATGTGGTCCAAAAAGGCAAAAAGAAAAAGGAGACAGGAGAAAGGCTGAAAGGCTAGCCCTCCTGCCACATCAGCCCCTTTAAAGAAAAAACCTCCCAGGGCCAGAGCGATAGCACAGCGGGTAGGGCATTTACCTTGCACGTGACCAACCCAGGTTCAATCCCCAGCATCCCATATGATCCCCAGTACCACCAGGAGTAATTCCTGAGTGAAGAGCCAGGAGTGACCCCTGAGCATTGCTAGGTATGACCCAAAAAGCAAAAAAAAATGAAAAAAGAAGAAAAACCCTCCTGAGAAACCCCATTCAACCGCCTGTTTCCTGACAACTACTCTGTAAGGCAGGTCTAGAAATGGTGACCGTCTGTAGACACAGTCCCACTCTCCCCACCCTACCCCACCCTACGAAATTGAGGTTTTTCTTTAAAGGAAAGATGAGAAGGGTCCAGAGCAGGTAGGGCGCTTGCCTTGCACGCAGCCAACCCGATTTTGATCCCAGCTTCCCATAGGGCCCCCCCAAGAACCCCTAGAAGTGTTCTCTGAGCACAGAGCCAGGGATGTGGCCCCAAAATTTTTTAAAAAAAAAAGCACTGTTCGTGACCTGCCAGTCTTCTGTGGCACGTGGGTTCCATTCCAGTGCAACAGTAAGTCCAGGGGCCCGTGTCTGACTGACTCATTTGGGCTCTCAGACTGAGGCCTTTTGGAGACAGCTCTGGGGGCAAAAGAAAAGAAAAAGAAGAGTAGATGTTGGAGGTCAGACCATACTGGAGGCCAGCGAGTATTCCACAGCAACTAGAGTATATTTGGCTTTTGTGGACAAAGCGTCCTCGTCATGCAGGACAAATGTCCTAGGTCATTACACAGGGCTCAGCCAGTGAGAACACAGTCTCTGGGAAAGGGAGTGGGGGGACATCTGTTCCATGGCATTGACCACAGTCTGCCTGTGCCTCCCTGGGTTCCCATGTGAGGAGCAGAGGTGGAGGTGGCCCCTCAGCCGCCCCCACACAAGCAGCTACCGATCAGAACCTCAAAGGGGTAGCAAAAGACGCCCCCAGCAGTTGCCAACCAAGGGCAGCCTCTTTGACACTAGTAAAGAGATTCCAAGCTAGAAACACTTGTGAGGAAAACAGAAAAGGCATTTCATGTCTTTTTTTTTTTTCTTAATCACCCAGAAACTTTAATAGCTGCAAACCTGCATGCACCTGGCACCTGGTGTCAGGTGTGTAAACAGCAGCTGATAAGGCAGCTTGTGGGAAAGTAGGTGGACCCGCCCTCACAGGAGGCGTGCTGGGTCCTCTGTGAAGGGGAGAGACTGAGTTGGCGGTGGAGGACTTAACCTAGCCCAGCATGATCTGGCTTCGTGTTTACTCCACAGAGAGGAAACACATTCTTTTCCACTGGCAGAGGATCACCTGCAATCTAATGAGGAGCCAAGGTCACACGTTTTGACACTTGGTCCTTCATTGGGCCTAAGAGAACTTTTTTTTCACCCCCTTTGGGTTTGTTTTTTGTTTTTTAGGTTACCCCTAGCGGCTGTGGTGCTCGGGGCTTGCTCCTGGTAGGGCTTAGGGGACCCTGTGCAGTGCCAGGGATTGAACCAGAGTCGGCCACATGCAAGGCTAGCGCCTTACCCCCTCCCCATACTATCTTTTCTGTTCCTTGTAATAGGACCTTTAAAAAGTAGAGATTTTTCTCATAAAAACTCTGGAAAGCTCCTAGATGTCTTAGCAGTGCCTCCTCTGTGCATTTTCATTTTGTCATCAATGTCATCAATATACATTGATGACAAAATAAAAATGGGGGCAGGGAGGTAGTTCAAAGGCTGAAGCACAGGGTTCTCAAGCAGGAGACCCCAGGCTTGGTCCCCAGCATTAAACCTGTATCACCAGAAGCTTCCCTCCAGGTCACTGGAGCACTGCTGGGGGCTGGCGGGCAAAACAGGGAAGCACTTGTGATAGCTTCAAGGCCAAGCTGCTCCCAGAGAAGAGTGTTTGGTCCCTGAGCAGCAGGGGAGGTGGCCTGGCCATCACGATCACAGGGTATGGGATCAGCCTTTGACGCCACTGTACGTAAGACAGGGCCACCCTGTAAAGGACAGTGCACGCAGGGAGGAATCGCGGACCCGGTGAACTGCATCTGGACACACGCCGAACAGAGATACAGGTTCCACGTGGGGAAGATCAGCGCCTGTCTTAAAGAAAAGAGGGAGAGGGCTTTTGTGCAGGGGGCCAGGCAGATATAACCCCTAACTCTCCGCTGGAGCATCTGCCATATTTTTGTGTCTTCTGAAGGGCCAGATGAGCATTGGGGTCTCCAGGGCTTTTAGCAGCTACTGACGGTGCAATGTGGCGATGTAAATCAGGGTCCCTTTTCCATGACAGATCTCTTCCCCTGGCAGTGCAGACGCCAGCACCCAGCACTTACCAGGTGCCCACTGCACCAGTCACTCCACACTGCACTTCCCGTCCTTTCGCCTGCCCTGATTGCCAGGCACGCAGGTCTGCTTTCCTGGTAAGGTGCAGCTCCGCCCCATCCAGGGAGACTCCAGTGTCAGCCCCTCAGCACCTTCTGAGCAGGACCCTAATGACTCACAAGACTCAGCTGGGCCACTGCATGAGTCTTTTGTAAGCCCGGGGCAGCTGCCATGAGGCCAGGTTTGCTGCATAGCACACATATGCCAAGCACTTAGCATCTCCACGTTCACCAGCCCATCGGTTCTGTGAGCGTGAGTCACGTCAGGGTTCCCATCTCCCACGACGGCACCGCGGTTCTGTTGACACGGCGAGATGGGTCCCTCTGTTCCGTGTGGCCCTGAAATGGGCATAAGCTGTGCCTGTCTGGGCTGGCACGTGGCCCGCTCACTTGACCCCTCCCCCCCCACTCTTCCCTCAGAGCATGCCAACTACTTTGGTGTGGATGAGAAACTGGGACCCGTGGCTGTGAGCATCAAGCGGGAGAAGCTGGAGGACCACAAGGACCATGGCCCTCAGTACCAGTACAGGATCATCTTCCGGACCCGCGAGGTAGGTCCTCGGTCTGTTGTAACTTCTACCTAAGGATCAGTCGCTTCCTCTGCGGCACCATCCCCTGCCTCATGTCTCTTCCTGGCCACCTCGGGAGTGCACTTCTGTTAGTCTCCCCATCTTCTCCAAGAGAACACGCAGACACAGAAACAAAATGACCCGCTTGAGATCGGTAAATAAGTGGCCAGGCCAGGCCAGAGCTGGAGTCCAGTGTGATGACAGTGGGGGCCTGATTCTTCAGGCCTGACTCAGTGCTCAGGAGTCTTTTCCTGCAGGCCTCAGGAAACCATGCAGTGGTGGGGATTGTTCTTGGGGCTCTTGCATGCATAATGTGTAGGTCCCCCTTCCTTGCCCTGGCCCATTGAGCTCACTCTCTTCCCAAGCCCGCAGGAGCCAAGGTTCACACATTTCTAAGAGATTGACTCTGATTAGCACAGACACAGAAGGAGAGGTGGGGGGACACTCAGAGTCCCAAAGTACTCCACAGAGTGGGAAGAAGAAAAGGTAGCAAGCCTCTGGCAGGGCGGGCATTCATGGTTGTGCCCACGGGCACAGCTCAGAGCACTTAACTCTGAGCAGCAAAGCCTGTTGTCCGGGTTCAGCCAGAGGAATTTCCCCCGGGCTCAAGGTCTGCTGTGAGCAGTGCCTGGGGGCGGCAGCCTGTCCAGGTCACTAGCTGTCTTAGGCCAGGGCAAGGACCCCTGCTTCATGGCGCTGCACTCGGGCCGGGCAAGCAGTGGCATCAGTTGGGCCCCAGGACTCAGACAACACCCCCAGGACTCTCCCTCCTTATGTCTCTTCCCACTGTGAGGGTCTCCCTCCCCACCGCCACCTTCGGCCACCACCAGGTTCTCTCCATGTCAGGAGACAATAGCCACTCACTGCCCACATGAGCTTAGTTTCGTCTCATCCCTGAGGAGGAGACACTGTGCTGCAGGCCCTCTGGAAGGTCTTTGGCAGGCTCTGCACCAAGCCCTGGGCAATTCACCTCCACCTGGGTGGAAGAAGGAGTGGCTGCTTCTAGAAACTGCTCCACTTGGGGGCCCAGGACAGGGCACTAACAGGGATTCCATCAGAGCCACCTGGAGGAAGGGACCAGGTGTGTCCCCAGCCAAGATTGGAGAGATGCTGGAGCCACAGGATAGCAGATAGGGCGCTTGCCTACCCGCCTTCTATCCCTGACATCCCATATGGTCCCGCGAGCACTACCAAGAGAGATCCCTGAAGTCAGAGCCAGGACTATAAGCCTGAGCATCGTTGGATGTGGCCCATAAAAACCAAAAGGAATAAAAAGAAAAATTACAGAGATAATGAGGAAGATTTTCCACCAAGACACCCCCCCCCCCCCAGCCAGGTCTTCCTCAGACCCCACATTGTCCTGTCCTCTTTGGACCTGGCCTGGGCCAGGTAAGGTCACCCACTGCCCAGGACTGTGGGATTGCAGCCAGCCGGGCTCCTCCACCCTGGCAGAGGCTGCCCTGAGGACTCTCTTCGCAGACCATGGGTGGCCGCCAGCCCTTCCTCGCTCTCATCTTTCTAACTTGTGAACTGGAGGGCAGAATGTCAAGTGACAGCCCAGCCTGCGTCAGCCAGGGTGCCAGCCACCCCAAGAGGCAGGTGGTGGCAGTCAGGGCTGATGCTGTTTCCAGGATCGCTGTCCATTGCAGCGCTCACACTCCTGGGCTCCTGAACTCAGCTTTTGGGGTCAGGGAGTCTCCCACGCCCCCGGGGGCCACAATGCTGCTTGGGGCCTGCCGTGCTGCTGGTGGTCTGGGCTACCTCAACGGTGCTTGCAAGCCTCCAGGCTCACACCCGGTCTACTCGGGGGACCGTGTTGTGCTGGGGGGTCAGGCTGGGGCTGGCCGTGTGCAAGGCATGCACCTTAATCCTGGACTTGGCCACAGCCCCGTTTTCTGCATCCGACGTCTGCCACTCATGTCCCGGTGCTTCTGTGTGGCGGCTGTGTCATCCTTGCTTGCGGAAACTCGGGGGCTTGCGGCTCCCAGAGCAGCTCCTCTGTCTTGCTCAGACTGCACGTCTGGCCCGCTGGTGGCTCCCAGACTCACCTCAGCACCAGAATCTTTGTGCTGTTTAAGGAAAACAGGACGAGTGGGATGAGTGTTGAGAATCCCAGACTGCCGCCCTGCACCTGCCGCTGAGTGTGGGGATGGCAGCTGGGGGTGTCCTGTTGGCCGAGGTTCCTTATCTGTGAGTCGAGAACCAGTTAGGGACCATCTTGGTGCCGCCGTGCCCTGCCCACTTCCAGCCCTCGCAGCACTGGCCCACGCTCGCAGAGATGCTCTCGGGGGTATCAGGGTAGGGCTAGGGGAAAGCAGGCAGCTGACACCATCTCCCACCTGAGGCCCCTCTTGCCATGGAGGCCTCCACAGCCCAAGGAATAGCCCAGCACGGGCATGTGTGCCCTGATGCCTTCCTCCAGGTCTCAGCTCCTGGGGACAGTCTCGACAGACATCCCGTGAGGACCTAAGCTGCTGGGTGGGGCAAGTGCCCCTCACCACTCCTGCCTGCTCTAGGGATTGGACCCTCCCTCTGGCAGCAGGCAGCGCTGCTGCTCAGGACCACGTGACCTCAGGCAGCCGGCTGCTCCTCCCGGCACCCCTGTGTCCTCCTCCGTAACTAGAGCTGGGACAGCCGCAGGGCCAGGAGCAACAAGCAGCACCTCTGCTATCCCGGATGAAGGGCACTGCTGGGAAGCATGCTTCTGCCCTCTCCTGTCCCCCACGCACATGTCTCGGGCTCCTGGAAACCAGGGCGTGGGGCCAGAGCAAGAGGCCAGGCTGTTCTGCAAGGCAGCCGGCTGCCCCGGCCCAGATGGCCGCCCCCGGCCGCCCGGCAGGCGCGGAGAGTGGGCCCACAGCTCTCGGCAGATGGGGTGTGAGCGTTGGCGGCCGCGCTCCCTGCGGGCCAGGAGCAGACTTGGAGCTGGGCTTTGGCACCAGACGCCTGCCCGTCAGGCGCTAGCTGCACCCTGGGCCCAGGAAGGATGCTCCCCAGCCGGGGCTGGCACAGTCTCACCCGGGACACGGAGGCCCATCAGTTCCCCGTCAGTCTAGCAAACATGCATTTTTGAGAGACCTTAGTTGCTGTTAGGGTTAGAGGTTTGGACTTTATCTTTTTTTGTTTGTTTCTTTCTTTCTTTTTAGTTTAATTAAGGAGATAGCTCCTCCTTGATTTTGAACAATGCATAAGTGTGCAAAGTGAAAACAGAATCTCATATTCAGGGAGAAAAAACAAGATTTAAAGTATATATTTAGACCACATTTGTGTTCATCAGACACATGTGTGTTTGTGTGTGTATATAGGTAATCTGCTCACGGGGGAGAAAGCGAACTATAGAGTACTATTTAGGGTTAACAAACAATTTCTTTAAAAATTCTTAATTATACCTCATGGTTTTTCACTAATAAAAAAAAAAATTCTTAATTATACATGTGTTTTAAACATAAACATCTGGGCCAGGGAGAGCTCAGCAGGCCGAGCACATGTTTTGCATGCAGGGGGCCTCGTTCCATCTCCAGCACCACGTGGGCATGTCCTTCTGCTCACACACACACACACACACACACACACACACACACACACAGAGCACAGCACCTAGAGTAGCCATTACCCAGCTCTTGGCTAAGCAAACAGACACAAAGGAAGAAAGTAACTTGCCCAGGGCACCCACTTGGGAAGGAATCGAACCAGTATTTGAATTCTGGGTGACTGGCCCCCCGGGACTTCCCAAGGATAGTGGTTGGGTTCCCTGCTCCTGAGCTGCCTGGCTGCCCTCAGGGAGATAGTGCCCGCTGTCCTGGGACCAGATGACACAGGCCCTGCGGGGGAACCCAGAGTGTGGATTTGATCATTTGATCATAGAAGCAGTTAGTGGGCTCCAAGCCAGGGAGAGGCCTGACCCAACGCAGGTGGCTGTGAGAACGGCCCGAGAGGGAGCCGGGAGGTCTGGCGGTGGCTTTGATCTCAGTCCTAGGAGGACCTGCTCTTGGCCGGGCAGGTGGAGATTAGATGTGGCCACTCTGAAGTTCACCTGTGCCCCCATTGTCCCCGGCAAGGAAGAAAACGCTGGGAGCTTCCCATCTGGGCCCTTGGCCCCAGTCATTGGAGCCAGACTGATTGCAGGTGCCTCTTGGGGGGGCGACTGGAGGAATCTTGTTCACGCTGTCCCTAACCCCCAGCAGAGGGCGCTGCAGGGCAGTGTCAGCGCAATACAGACCTGTGTCCCTGAGCCAGAGCCAGGAGCAAGCCCTGACCCCCAACCACTCCCCCCAGAAAGGAAGGAGCTTTCACCCCAAAGTACTCTCCAAACCTAATACTCCTCCATTGCCTAGAACCAGCTGCAGGGAAAACTTGTAAGCGGCCTGCTTGGGCAGAAAGATGTTCAAGCCAGCCAGGTGCACACACATGGGAATCCCAGCAGTGAGTGCACATGTCTGTGCACATATATGTATCCCTGTGTGCACAAGTGCATGCATCCCGCTGTGGACCCGTTCAGGTCACCCAAATCCGAATCAAATGTGATTTTGTAAAAAAAAGAAAAAAAAAACCTTTGGAAAAACTAGTGTCCCTGGTCAAGCCCTAGGGTAGTGCTGGGTGGGGTCTATCTCAGGCAGGCTGAGTGACCCAGCATGCTCTCTGAGTCACACACACACACAGGCACACACACACCCCACCTTCATTATCCTCCTTCCTCCTGGACAAGAGGTGAAGGGTTGGAATGAGTGTCTCACTCACACACACCGCCCTCATTATCCTCCTTCTTCCTGGATAAGAGGTGAAGGGTGAGACTATCTCTCTCTCCTCTCTCTCTCTCTCTCTCTCTCTCTCTCACACACACACACACACACACACACACAAACACTGCTGCCTTCATTGTCCTCCTTCCTCCTGGACAAGAAGTGATGGGTCAGATTGAGTCTCTCTCTCTCTCTCTCTCTCTCTCTCTCTCTCTCTCTCTCTCTCTCTCTCTCTCTCTCTGTCTTCATTATCTTCCTCCTGGACAGGAGGTGAAGGGCCCTAAGGTGGGAACTTAGTTCACTGCACTTAGGAGACCTTATGGCTGAACAGACCACAGCTCACTTGCTCACTCTGTTGTCTCCACAGTCCTTTGGGGTTATACTGTCACTAACGCACTTCACCAAAGTAGAAGTGCGTCAGAGATCAGAAATCACTTGGCCAAACACAGCCAGTTTCAGCCCCGGTTCCCCTCACCCCCTACTCGTGGAGTTTTCAGACTGTGAGAAACCCCCAGAGGCTGCAGTCCCTTTCTGGACCCTCAGAGCCTCTCCTCTCTGATTCTGTCCCCGCCGAGCAGCTCATCACCCTGCGGGGTTCCATCCTGGAGGACGCCACACCCACAGCCACCAAGCATGGGACGGGGCGGGGGCTCCCCCTGAAGGACGCCCTGGAGTATGTCATCCCCGAGCTCAACATCCACTGTCTGCGCTTGGCGCTCAACACCCCCAAGGTGACGGAGCAACTGCTGAAGCTCGACGAGCAAGGGGTGAGCTGGGCAAAGGCCGGGGGGCTGCTCCTGCTCCCTCTGTCTTGAGCTTTTGGTCCTCCAGAGGACAGACAGGTGTGAGGGGAAGTAGTTGGAGGAGAGAGAATGTGATCAGGGTTGGGGAGAGGGAGGAGAGAGAGAGAGAGAGAGAGAGAGAGAGAGTATCTGGGGATGAAGCAGCCCTCATGTATGTGCATATGTGTCTGCCCCATGGTGGTGCTCATACACACCCTGGTTTCTCATAGTCCCCCGCAACCCCCAGATTGCCAACTCTAAGTGCCCAAGAACCTCTTAACAGGCCCCCACTGGGGACAAGTGTTTGCCCAGTCATTGTGTTCTGGAACCAGCAATGTTTCATTGCTGACCCCCACTCCTTAAACACCAAGAGTAAGAGTGTTCCCAGCCCCACCAGAACTCCCCTTTCCAGAACCTTAGCCAGTTTCATCCCCCTTCCCCCCCCCCCCCCCCCCACTGCGCTGAGGAGCCAGCCAGGTAGCAGTTTCTCTCTTTCCAGAGAATATAACAAGAAAACAAGAACGGGAAAGGGGCAACAAGTCCCAGTTCCCCAGCCTTGTGGTGCCCCAGCGCTTCCTCTCCCCTGCTGCCACCCGACTAAGGCCTTTCCCTCTGTCCCCTCTGACCCTCTGACCCACCTCTGCAGCTCTGCCGGAAGCACAAAGTGGGCGTCCTTTACTGCAAGGCAGGCCAGAGCTCCGAGGAGGAGATGTACAACAACGAGGAGGCCGGGCCCGCCTTCGAGGAGTTCCTCTCGCTCATCGGAGACAAGGTCTGCCTGAAGGGCTTCACCAAGTATGCCGCCCAGCTGGACGTCAAGAGTAAGTACCGGGTAGGGCATTTGCCTCGCATGCAGCCGACCCAGGTTCAATCCCCGGCATCCCATATAGTGCCCTGAGCACTGCCAGGAGTCCAGGAGTGACCCTTGAGCATAGTCGGGTATGACCCAAAAAGACAAAAAGAAAAAGGAGTAAGTAAAGCAGGGCCACCTCCGTGGGCTGGCACACCTGAAGCCCTGCTAGTTTGTCAGATGCACTAAGGGGCAGAGTGGGCCATGGTGGGGACACACAGGGCGCGGCCTGTGGGGAGACAATGAGGGCCAGGCCCTGGTGGACTGGGGACACAGGCTCTATCCCACACTCGCATCCCAGCACCCTTGACCACGGGCTCCTGGGTGCTCTTGGCCTGAGAAGCATAACTGAGGGTCTCTGAGGCGAAGGCCCTGAGAGCTTTTTGCATGACAGTAATTTGAGCTGCACCCTAGGAGCTAGGGTGATTACTTAGAGGGCTGGAGCACAGGTGAGAGGCACATAGACACCAAGACTCCAGGTCTCACTTGGAACCACAGGGTACCCCAGAGCACTACCAGGAGCAAACTGGGAGCACCCAGCCTAGAGGGGCCCTGAGCACAGCCCAAGGTTAGAGAGGCGGTGGGGGGGAGGGGGTGTGGACAGGGGGAGCACTTGACTTGCATCCCACAGACCGAGGTTTGATTCCTGACAACCCTTAGGGTTACTACAGAGCCAGGAGTAAGCTCTGTAACTTGCACAGTCAAGTGTGATCCAAAAACCAAGCCCCTCCCCGCCAAATAAAAACACACCCAAGGACTTGGAATAAGGCCTGAGCAGTAGAACACATGCAGGGCCAAGGCCTCCTGAGCACCCTTTGAAGAAATAAAGTCACCAGCACACCTGCTCTGTTTTGTGTGTGTTGGGGGTAGGGGTTCTTATCTAGTAGCACTGTCTGTAGCACTGTCCTCTATTGTTCATCGATTTGCTCTAGTGGGCCCAGTGACGTCTCCATTGTGAGACTTGTTGTTACTGTGTTTGGTATATCGAATATGTCACGGGTAGCTAGCCAGGCTTTGCCGTGCGGGCAAGATACTCTCAGTAGCTTGTCGGGCTCTCCAAGAGGGGTGGAGGAATCGAACCCGGGTTGGCCGGGCCGGCCACATGCAAGGCAAACACCCTACCACTGTGCTATCGCTCCAGCCCTCTCTCTTATCTAGTAAAATGGAAAAACAAAGTAGCAATGGCTGCTTGTTCAGGAGTGACAGGCTAGGGCCAGAGCAATAGCACAGCGGGGAGGGCATTTGTCTTGCCTGGTTTTGGTCCTAAGTACCACAGATGGTCCCCTGAGCCTGCCAGAAGTGATTACTGAGTGTAGAGCCAGGAGTAAGCCCTGACCACTGCCAGGTGTGGCCCAAAAAGCAAAATGACAGGAGTGACAGGCTTGTGCAGGAGAGGCTGGAAGTTTCCAGGGGAAGACTTTCAGTGTAGGGTGTCACCCGGTGGTACTCAGGGGACCAGGCAGTGCGAGGGGCTGGAGCCAGGCATCCCACATGCATAGCCAGTGCTCAGTCCTTGGCACCATCTTCCTGCTCCGTGATGAGTCAAGTGGGAGGTCCCACATCTCCTCACAGCACCTCTGCAGGTGTCCACAGGCTTTACGTGCTGTGTAGACCTGAACGTTCCACGGGGCGGAGGCGGGGGGGCAGCTGTTGAGCCTGGCATTACTTGCAGCATGGTCTCTGGCTTCATGCGTGCATGTGGCAGGCACCGCCTTGCAGGAAGAGGCAGTTCAGCCTGACCTAAGTGTCTGTGGAGAGCCTGGCCTGGGCCAGGTTCCTCACACACACAACGTATGGCCTGAGAGGGGAAGAGATGGAATGAAACCAGTGACAAAGATGCCAGGAGCACATTCAAGGCCAGAGGAACAGCATGTGCAAAGGCCCTGAAATCTAAAGGCAGTTATGGGAAGAAGTAAGGGACCCCACCATGCAGGATTAGAGTTTGGGGTCTCTTTCCTCTGAGGAAGGTGAGCACTTGGTGGCGCTGAGCTCTTGTAAGGACATGGTCTGGGCCCAGGCAACTTAAATTCCAGACACATCTGAGAGAGAGAGAGAGAGAGAGAGAGAGAGTGTCCCACAGACTGTTTCCCCCTCGGTAAAGCAGGCCCAGTGACTGGATGTGCCGGTGGAGCATAGAGGCCAGAGCCCAGGTCTGCTTCCAGGGGATGTGACTTGGCTTGAGTGAACATCACACAGTCACACATGAGGGCACCGTGTCCTGGGCTCCCTCAGCAGCGGTTCAGGAGGTCAAACTGGCAGTGGCTGCGGCCGCTCCCCTGGGTGCTGCCCCCATCCCATCCAGGTCCACTGTCCTGGTCTCCGGGGAGGCACCAGCATGGGAAGATCCTTGAACCCACATCCCCAGGCCCACATGCATGCGGGGGAGGGAGCGTGGTGCCACCTGTGGAGCCTGTTTCCCACTGTGGCGCCTGCCAAAGCGCTGGCGCCCGCTTGGCCGCCGACAGGGCCGCTCACATCCTCGCCCGCTGCGGGTCCGTCAGACGCCGGCTCCCACCCAGCAGCGGGTGGGAGCAGAACATAATGTTTCCCTTCCTCTACACTCATTTCCCTTTAAAGAGTGGAGTTAAGTGAAAACATCAAGTTGAAAACTCGCACAGATGGTACGTGGGACATGGCGCCCGCCCAGAGGTTTGGGGACCGCCGCGCTAACTGGTGTTTCTGTTTCAGCCGACTCCACAGGGACCCACTCCCTCTACACCACGTACCAAGACTACGAGATCATGTTCCACGTCTCCACCCTGCTCCCGTACACCCCCAACAACAGGCAGCAGGTCAGTGTGGGCCCAGGGCAGGCCCCCCAGGAGTTCCCGTTGAGATCCAGCTGGCCTGCTGTGGCTGCTGCCCCACTGCCTGCCCACCTGCCCTCTCCACGCCTGCTACCCGCTTGGGCAGTAATGGTCACTTCGAACGCTGCAGGCTGGAACTGGGCCAGCTATTGGGGGTGGGGAGATAGGCAGTGATTTTTGTCTGTTCCTCCACCACCCAGTTTCCCCAAGGTCTCGGGAATCACCAGGGGTCCTGCGAGAAAGAAGAACGAATCAGAAATGCAAACTTTGGAGAACTCAGGAATCGGGGGTGGGGAGGTGACGGGGCTGCAACTCTGGGCAGGCTTCATGCAGCCATGTCTGGGGACTCATGCTCACGTCCCGGCCATTTGTCTGTCACCCATGTGCTTCTCCCGATAGTTGCCTTATCGGAGGGCATAGAAGCAGTGACAGAGACAGAGCCTCGGGAGACAAGCTATTCCCTCCAGAAACACTTTCAGGCTGGATCTCATGAGACCCTTTGCTGGTCCCTGACCTGGGTCCCACCCCAGAGAGGACGTGGGGTGAGGGAGATAGTAAGGAGGCTGCTGGGTGGGGGTCGCTCCTGGACACTTTCCTGTGACACTTTCCTCTCCCTGCTCGTGTCTTCCTGTCACCAGCTCCTGAGGAAGAGACACATAGGGAACGACATTGTGACCATCATCTTCCAGGAGCCGGGGGCACTGCCTTTCACCCCCAAGAACATCCGCTCCCACTTTCAGCACGTCTTCATCATCGTGCGAGCACACAACCCCTGCACAGAGAATGTCTGCTACAGGTGCGCACCCTCCCCACCCCCAAGAGACCTCAGGCAGCCCAGGCTCCATCCAAGAGTGAGTGGCCAAGAGTGAGTGGCCAGAAAAAAAATGGCTTCTCCAGACAACCACTTGGTGGAGTCTGTCACACACACACACACACACACACACAGCCAACCAGACAACATACTTCCCCCAGACAACCACTTGGTGGGCTTCTGTCCCAGCACGCGCGCGCGCGCGCACACACACACACACACACACCGCCCCTGGCGTTTTGTCCCAACACACATACACATACACACACACAACACCCCTAGGTTCTGTCCCAACACACACACACACTGCCAGTTCCCGAAGACAACCCCGCTTGGTGGGGTTCTGTACACACACACACATACACATACACACACACACACACACACACACACACACACACACCGCCCCTGAGGTTCTGTACACACACACACACACACACACACACACACAGTGAATGGCTTTGTTTGTGGACAGCAGATCCCAGCTGGGAATCCGGCAAGAGGGGAGCCTCCTTTCCTTCTCCAGGAGAAGCAACCCCAGCATCAGGGCTCTTTGGCTGGCTGACCTGGGGCCCATGGACATTCCTGAGCAAAACTGCCAGACCCACTCCGGCAGTGGTGCCTGGACTGCATGACACAGAGGGAAGCAGAAGGTGGAAGGGTGGAGGCCGAGTGGGCAGGGACCCCCTCCCCCAGGAGACGGAGTTGAGGCATTGAGTCAGCCATGGAATAAACAGCTGACGCAGGCCCAGACCCTTAAGTTCTCACCCCGGGGCTTGTGGCCCCAAGACCCCATGGAGGGTGAGCACCCATGAGCCAAGGTGTGGTGAGGCTTGTGCCGTGAGCCCAGACAGCACAGTTCCACGGGGCAGTGGGCTGGCAAGTGTTAGCTTCCTTTTTCCTGAAAAATGGGTTGAAATTTGGGAGATGACTGCGGAGACTCCCACCCGAGCCCTCAGTGCCCTGTTGCCAGCCCCGCGGCAGCTTCTGACGGCTCTTCCTGTCTGTGCCTTTCCATCCATCACCCGCTCCGCTCCTCCCTGCACATTTCCACACCACTGTTGGGGAACTTTCCAGGCTGTTCTCAGGGCCCTCTGCCTTCTTTGTGACTGTATAGCATGGCCTCATGTGCGTGAGAATCCTCCCCCTGGGGTCACAGGGTGGCTTGTTACCATCCCACTGCACATGTGCTATGCAGCTGTGGGCTGAATCCCTGAGACTGGAAGGAGCACCCAGGGCTGGGCAGAGGGTGCTGGTGGCAGGGGGCACCCCACACCCCTCAGGAGCCCAGGGCCAGTCTCCCACCCGCAGATCCACCTTGGCATGCCTGGCAGGAGAGGTGGTTGGTTGGGTTGGGGGCGGGGGGGGGGGTTGCTGCTGCACAAACCTTTCCTGTTTCTCACAACTTCGTTTAGAATATATTTTTTATTATGCAATATCTTAAACATTCTGAAAAATACAGAAAAGTATCTGGCAGACCCCCTGGTGCCTCCCACCAGATTGAGCAGATGTTCCCATTTTGCTGTTTGCTTCAGCGCTGTCGTTTGCTCGCCCCTTTTAATTTTCAAGAAGGAAAATGTTAGCGATACCACCAGAGCTTCCCCCGTCTCCTCCTTCCCCGCAGACAGCTGCTCTCTGCCCTCCCAACCCCCCTGTGTCCCCAAAAAGCCCCTCCTCACCCTAGAAACAGCATTCCCCGAGGGAGCCCCAGGCCCCATTCACCCTCACACTGCAGGCCCTGAGGAAGCAGCCATTGAATAAACATCATGATGAGTGGGCAGTGTGAGGACAGGGCCACCCCTCCCCCACATCCACGCAGACCCTTCCAAGCATCCAGCTGTCCTGCAGACCTCCTGCTGTTGGCGACCTGGGGCCCGGTGACACAGAAACGCCTGAACTGGGCTTGGGAAATGGTGGAATCGAGTATTGTGTGTGCGGAGCCCCTCACATCTGCCCACCGCCCTAGGCGCAGTTCCTTGGGGCTGGCGAGCTCCCTCACCACTGTGTGTGTGCTCCGGCTTCAGTCATTAAGATGGACCCTCAGTGGCCCCTGTGCCATGCTGCGGAGCCTGCCCTGCTCTACTGAGCACGAAGGGTCTCTACCTGGCGAGCCAGAGGCTGACCCAGCCCTCTGGGGTTTGCAGAATCCTCCCCGCAGTCTCCAGCAAGGCAGGGGCTGGGGGGCAGCCACGTTGGTCTTTGCCAGTGGCCCCACTCTGCCCCACCTGAACCCTGCAAGGAGCACAAGCCCCATAGCCCACTCAGGCTTTAATGGGGGGGAGCAAGTGAAGTGACTTCTAACAGGTGGGGTAGGCGCGGCTACTACCTTTTCTATTGGATTGCTTTGGGGGCCCACTCCTGGCAATGCTTACAGGTTACTCCTGACTCTCCCTCAGGGAGCACTCCTCCAGGTGCTCAGGGGACCATCTGGGATGCCGGGAGCAAGGTCTGCACCTAGGTCAGCTATGTGCAGGGCCCTCCCCGCTGTGCTCTCTCTCTGGCCCGTCGGCTGCTACCTTCTGGCCTGGTGCTTGAACCTGGCTGCCCTGTCCAAATGTCACATCTGAGTTGCCCTTGAATCTCAGAACTGGGACAGAGGCTCCCCCTGCCTCTCCACCTCCCGCTGTTCTTACCTTGTGACCTGCTCTGGCTGGGTTAGAGCACAAGGTGAAAGCAGGCAGCAGTGCAGCACCCCAGAACCCCAGAATGGTGGGCACGCCCCCAGCTCCCTCCCATCTACAGCGGTCACCTTGGAGATCCCCCCTTCAGGTCAGGACAATGATCATGGGAGCCACCCACAATTTTCTTCTGTGAGGTTTGTGCATTGAGTGTGTTCAGAAGTTTACAGGGCCTGGGGCCAGGTGTTAGCTCGTCACCTCTCTCCACCCCCTCTGGGTGCACGGACTCCCCCATAATGGTGTCTGGGTCAGACTGAAGGAGGAAGACCCCTTTCTCACCCCTTCTCTGGCTCCTGCTGTGGTTATCTGCAGAGTCCCTTTCCAGTGGGTCACGGTGTCCAAAAGGTTCCCTTGTGGGAGGGTGGAGGGGCGGGAGGACAGCTTTCTGGTCTGGCTCCCAAATCCCTGGCAGGTCAGCAGGGAGGGGTCTGGCTGGCCTGTGCCCAGGCCCCCAAATCAGGTCAGGATTCCCCAGGGGTCCCTCCTTCTTTCTGAAGCAGCAGATTCCCCCGGATTTGTTCAGCTGGTGGCAAAGGCAGGTGCTGGGGAGAGTGGGCCCCCTCCCACCCCCAGTTTGCCCTTCCACAGAAGCCAGTGGCCAAGATCAAGTCACATGAGCAGGCTCAGGCGAGATGGGGTGAGGCTATACCTGCCCACCAGAGCAGTGGAGGGAAAGGGGTGAATTTTTGTCGGACTGTGAACTACTCTGCATGTGTGATGAGTGACTCGGGCTGACGGGGCTAGAGAGAAAGGACAGTGGGTAGGGCACTCGCCTTGCACACAGCTGACCCAGGTTTGAGCTCCAGCATCCCATATGGTCCCACGAGCACTGTCAGGTATAATTCTCGAGTGCAGAGCCAGTAAGTTCTGAGCATAACTGGATGTGGCCCCAAAGTGAAAAACAAAACCTTGGCTGAGCGAGACCAGGAAAACCCTTCTTAGGATCTCCACGAGCCTTCTAGGAGGCCCCTAGAGGGGATAAAGGGTGTGTGTGTGCCTGAGAGACTCCAGTGCCGAGGTTTCTACATTCTTTTCTTTCCAAAAAGCGTCTTCTTTCTTCCTGCCATCTAAACCCGGGTTTCCTTACGCAGGCAGCTGCTGAGGGCAAGGGACAGGACCCATGGACAGAGCCAGGGTTTAGAAGCAGCCTTTGGTGCCGTGGGGGACACTCTGATTATTTGCTTCAAGAAGGAGGTTTGGGGGATGGTGGGCTGTAGGGGGGGCGACGGGCCAAGGGAACGTGGAGCCACTGATCCGAACGGCTTCTCCCTTCCCCAGCATGGCTGTGACCCGATCCAAAGACGCACCTCCCTTCGGCCCCCCCATCCCCAGTGGGACCACATTCCGCAAGTCCGACGTCTTCAGAGACTTCTTGCTGGCCAAAGTGATCAACGCAGAAAATGCGGCGCACAAATCGGACAAGTTCCACACCATGGCCACCAGGACCCGCCAGGAGTACCTCAAGGACCTGGCCGAAAACTGTGTCTCCAACACTCCCATTGACTCCAGCGGCAAGTTCAACCTCATCTCCCTAACCTCCAAGAAGAAGGAAAAGACCAAAGCGCGTGCAGGCGCCGAGCAGCACAGCGCCGGGGCCGTTGCCTGGCGGGTGTTGGCACAGGACTACGCCCAGGGGCTGGAGATCGACTGCATCCTGGGCATCTCCAATGAGTTCGTGGTGCTCCTAGACCTCCGCACCAAGGAGGTGGTGTTCAACTGCTACTGCGGGGACGTCATCGGCTGGACCCCCGATGGCGCCACGCTCAAGATCTTCTACGGGCGCGGGGACCACATCCTGCTGCAGGCCACCGAGGGCTCGGTGGAGGACATCAGGGAGATCGTCCAGAGACTGAAGGTGAGGCCGACAGATGGGCGAGTGGGCAGCCGTTGGGGTGGGAAGGCCCCCCACAGGCAGCCAAGCCAGGCCAGGCCAGGCCTTGCTTGGGGAAACCAAGTTGTCACATTCAGGCACGGTGGCCCCACTGTCTGGCATCTCCCTGGCAAAGATGGGGCCGGAATACTGAGGCACAGGGGACGGGAGGACACTTTCTACTTTTTTTTATTTTCTTTTTGGGTCACACCCAGTGATTCTCAGAGGTTATTCCTGGCTCTTCACTCAGGAATTACTCCTGGCGGTGCTCGGGGGACCATATGGAATGCTGGGGATCAAACCCGGTTCGGCCGCATGCAAGGCAAACGCCCTACCCACTGTGCTATCACTCTAGAGAGGGCACTTTCTATAATTAAAGTAGAATGAAAACTTCCAGACCATTCAAGGAAGCAGGGAGAGGGGAAATGACAAAGCATAGTAACAGCAAACTCATGTCATCTCACGTGGTGTGACAGTTGCACCTTCTCAGCAACAGAAACATGACAGCTTCTGCTCCCACTGTTTGAAGGTAAAGATCAATCTGGACAAGCCTTTCGGGTTTGGGTGGCTGATTCTTATTTTGAGGGCATGGAGGGGCGGGTCCCACATGAAATGGTGCTGAGGGAAGGGTCCCAGGCCTCCACGTGCAAAGCCTGTAAGCAGTGGCTCAGGCTCCCTCCAGGCCCTGGATTAAAGTCTGACCCTGGGCCAGAGAAAGTCCAGCAGGCAGGGCAGTTGCCTTGTAGGCAGCCAACCTGGGTTTGATCCCCAGTTCCCCACTGGTCCCCCAAGGAAGGAAGCCCTGAGCACCGCCAGGCACGGCCCCAAAACATAATAAAATCTTGCCCCGAACCTCAGGCAGCTCAGGCTCTGACATTTGGTCAAACCATGGGTGGCAGATTGGTTTCAAGGACGACGTCATTGGTTGAGGCTCCTCAAAGTACTAAGAGGGTCAGGGGCTGTGCTGAGAAAGGGGGTGTCCTGTGGGGGGCTTGGGGCCCAGGGGAGGCAGGATGACCCTGTAGTCAGTCCACAGATCCTGAGTCAGATGGCCCTGCACTGATGCTCACTGAGGCCTGGAGCCAAGGTACCAAACCGTATGACTCAGTTTCCCCATCTGAAAAGTGAGAATAATGTTCCATTAATAGTAACACCCCACATAAGTTTCAAGGACTGGACAGATGCCATTGCCCTGGCCATCCTGCCTGGCCGGGCGGGCCATGGCTTCCAGGTCACGGGTCTGCAGCTGGCCTTGCCCTCTCTGCCCCTGCATTAGCTTTCAACACAGCCACCGCCTAGTTTCTTCTGATTCCTGGTGAGGGCGGGGGATGCAGGTCTCGGCTCTCTGGGGGAGCCGCCAGCAGTTGACAGGCTGGGGGTGCATCCAGGCTTTCCTCGCTGCAAACCTGTTTGTGCCAGAACTTGGACGAATCTTCCTGCCTCGCTCAGCACCTCCACTCGGGTGTGGGGGTTTGGGATTCAGACCCCCGAATCCTGGCCAGTTCTGTCCTCGAGTGTGTTCCTACCCTCCCTGCCGCCCCCACGCCCCAGAGTTCCTACCCCCATGAAGGCCAAGCTGGTACCCCGCCAGGTGGTCTCAGACTCCCTCCTCTCTGTGACCCCCAGCTCCCTCTCTAGCCCCTCTCCCCTGCCCCTGGCCCAGGCTCCCCAGAAAGGTAGTTAGATGCCCAGATCAGGCCCCTCAGCCTCTCCAGGCCAAGGCCTGAGGCCTCAGGGGCTATCCACAGGATCCAGCTTCCATCTAACCTCTGTCCTCACTATACTTCCCCCAGCCTGCAGCTCCTCCCACTCCCTCAGGCCTTCCCTACATAGCCTCCCTGATCTTGTGGCCTCCCCAGTGCCAGCCTGGCCCTGATCCCTCCCTCTCCAGACTGCCTGCGCACGCCCTAGGCCCCACATGTCTGTTGTGCTGATCATCCATACCCCGCCTCAAGAACCGGCACAGACCCCGCCTGGCACCTTTTCTCTTCACAGAAGCCCCCTCCAAGGGAGAGATCACCTCCCTTCATCGCCACCCCAGAGATGAAGGGACTGAGACCCAGGGAGGTGCAACCCCATTGGGCCCCTGAGTGACCAGCACACCCCGGTTCTCTCGAGCTCCAGGCCAGAGTGACAGAATCCTCCAGAGTGACAAAATTCCTCCTGGGAGGAGACAGGGAAGGGAGAGACGGGCAGGCGACCATGAGGTTCTGCTGTGTAAAGCCCTCCCCTCTCCCCGCCCCAACACAGCCTTTGTCGCAGACAAGGCCACTTCTATGCCTGGCCAAGTTGGGACATGGCAGCGGCCTTCACCACCCTCCTGGGCCCCCAGACACAGTGTCCCTATATGGCACACATGGTACCCCTATATCCCATACACAGCACAGAATTCACAGTGCCAGAGGCTGCAGAGGGCACAGAGAGTGCCTGGATAGCCTCAGGCACAATGTGGATGTCCCTGAGCTGAGGGTCAGGGTTGTGTGTTTGTCACAGCTGCTTTTGGGCCTTTCTTGCAGTGCTGGAGGATCTGGCCAAGTGCTCCTGCATTTCTCTTTGCACAGGGCAGCGGGGGTGCGGGGTGTCCTTTCACGTGAGCCATGAGTGCACTTTTGGCCTTGGTTCCCACCAGCTCCATCTCATTTTTGTTACCCACCAGACACGCCCAGCGTGTGCTCTGGGAGGTGGATGGACACCCCCTGAGAAGATTTTAAGAGAGTCACAATGGCTCTCAACAACTGGGGCTCCAACAGAATGCAGGAATCAGGGCAGCGGGGATGTGAGTCAGAGGCCAGGCGCCTGTCTCACGCATGCAAGGCTTGGGCTCAGTCCTACAGCATAGAACAGCAGCCAGGCCTCAGCCCGGCGAAGAATGGGGCAGGACCCAGCAGGGGAAAACCGCTCAGGGGCTCCCATGAGAGTTCAGGGGCCGGGGGCTTGGAAGTCACCTCACTTCCCACATCTGGAGAAGCCCCAGGGCATTGCCCCCTCATAGGAGCTATGTTAGGAGGGGGTCCAGCGGGGCCCCCTGGGAATGGGTGGGTATGTGCACCCCCATGGCATTTTTCTCGAACCTTCCGTGCACCAGAAATGGTTCTCTTCTGCAAGTGGGGCTTCCTTTCATTTGTTTTCGAAGCCCAGAGTCATGAGTGCTCCTCGCCGCTGACCTCCCCTGGTTCTGGGCGGAACGGCTGAACTCAGGATCAGAACACAGGGCAGCTGGGCTGCCGGAGCAAGGCCTTGCTGTAGGCTGGTCGGGGCTGGCCGGGCCCCAGCTTGGGGACACCCGCTTTCCCTCCCAGTTGCTCCTTATGCACTGAGCCGGAGGGCAAGCTGCTTCCCCCATCGATTGAGCTCCAGGTACATGGCTCAAGGTCATGTCTACTTTGGCCAGAGTCCAAAAGTCTGTTCCCAGGAAACTTGAGAAACGGCGGTCCCCAGATGGGTGATGGTGCACCCATGAAAGCTGTTGGGGGAGGGGTTCCCCCCCAGAAAAACGAGTTATCCACCCTCCCCCACCACACTGAAAAAAAAAATCCGGGGGTGTCTTCTTAGTAAATAGAAGAAGAGAGGCCGAAGAGGTAATGCAATGGGTGAGCCTCCATTTCAGTCCCTGGCAGCCCATAGGGTCCCCGAGCCCCACCAGGAGTGGTCCCTGAGCACAGAGCCAAGAGGAAGGCATGAGCACCGCCAAACACACAGAAGAAGAGAGGGCTAGCAGGGTTAGCAGTCCTGTCCCCTGGGGGTTTGCACTGACCTCTGAACTCCCTAGATGGACAGACCCTCCCCGTCAGCACAGGTCAGGGTACTGAAGCCACTGTTTGTCGGGACCCAGAGATAGAGCCTCGGAACATTAGGGTGACAACTTCAAAGGGAAGAAGACGACGAATCCCCGAGCAGAAGCAGCCGGCTCAGAAGCGTCACGTCCACTTCTGAGGCATTAACGCCAGGCTTTACTCTCTGATCGATTTTTGTTTTTTTAGACTTTTCCATGTAGGAAGTTTTCCACCGTGCACAGGCCCAGGGGACGCAGCCTTCCCCACCCCCCCTGATGACTTCAGCACATCCTGTCACTCCATCTGGAAACAGTTCCTCTGAGACAGACTATGAGAGTCATACATAAACAACTGACACTAACTCCTGATCATCCCTACACAAGCCAGGCTCTGAAATCCCTCTCTGGGCCTCCACCACCAGCACAGGCCAGGAGAGGGCAGAAAGTCTCAGTTCTATGGGTCGAGCCAAACTCAGGCTTCTGCGTACCCGGCCCCCCTCCTGCTCCCAGATGGGCCAGGTGGGGGGCGACTGGTTCAGGACAGTCCCCTCCTTTCCTGCTCCCCACACGCAGGCAGGTTTCGTGTGTCCCAGCTCATGCAGGGTACGTGGCTGCTCAGGGTGGCTGTGACAGCAGGTTTTTGTCACTGAGAGTGGAGGCGAGAAAGGAGGTGAGCGACAGCCTGGTGGCGGCCAAGGAGCGACTCCTCACAGGGCACTTCTCTGTTCTGTTTTGTTTTGTTTTGGGGGGTGTGTAGGAAGGGGCACAAGCCCAGCCATGCTCAGGGGTTACTCCTAGCTCTGCACTCAGTATTTACTCCTCGTGAGGCTCAGGGAACCGTATTTGGTGCTGGGGATCGAACCCAGGTCGGCCACATGCAAGGTGAGCGTGCTCCCCGCTGTACTATGACTCCAGCCCCACAGCGCGTTTCTCTGAAGAAGGAACAGTGCGCTGGCTGTGGTCTGTGCGGTTCATCTCTTTACCCAGAGAAGGCGGGGGTCCTGCTCTCTGGGGTGCTTTGTGAAGGGTGGGAGGTGGGTACATGGGACCCCCACAAACAGAACAGGGAGTCCACTGGAAGCAAGTGGCCTGCAGGCCCCAGGCTGGGGTCTCCGGGAGGGACCCGTGTCCTGCAGCAGAGATGGTGCCCCTGAGCCCAGGGGCGCCTGCAGCTGTTGTGTCTTCTCGGCCCCCTCCCACCCACCACAGTGGCTCCCAGCTGGCATCCCTTCATGTACCCTGCTGGCTGAGCCCAGGGAAGGGCCTCTAAAAGGTCTCGCTCGGGCAGTTAAACGGCGGCCCCAGTGGCACGGGAGTCCACTCGCAGCCACAGGTCGCCACGGGGCCCCACAGCACCTGGCTCCCGTGTGCTTGCTGGAAGCCAGCCCAGGTTCCAGCCGGTAGCCTCTGAGCCCAGGCCCTGCCCCTCGCCCGCAGGTGATGACCAATGGCTGGGAGACGGTGGACATGACGCTGCGGCGGAACGGGCTGGGGCAGCTGGGCTTCCACGTCAAGTACGACGGCACCGTGGCCGAGGTGGAGGACTATGGCTTCGCCTGGCAGGCTGGCCTCCGGCAGGGCAGCCGGCTGGTGGAGATCTGCAAGGTGGCCGTGGTCACACTGACGCATGACCAGATGATCGACCTGCTGCGCACCTCCGTCACCGTCAAGGTGGTCATAATCCCGCCCTTCGACGATGGCACACCCCGCAGGTGAGGGCGCCGGGACCCTGGGCGGAGGCTCCTCCCACCCCACCCTTCCCCTGTTTCCACAGGAAGGTTCCCCCCTCCACATTGCCCTGAGACACTGCCCTGAGGGTGTCCCTCTGTCCCTGTCTCCTCCATCTCCCCACTCATGAGGACAGGGGGACAGCACCTGCCTTGTTCTCAGCCCACCCTGGCTTGATCCCCTGAGCACCATCAGCCTGGCCCCCAAACAAATGAACAAGCCAAACACATGAGCAGCGCCCATCAAGGACCCACAGCTGTGAATTGCTCTGCCCCCGGCCCCTCCTCAGACCCCCAGCCATGAATCTGTCTCCCCTAGCAGTTCCAGAAAGACTTGCAGAGCCACAGCTCAGTGACCCTGCCCAGCCCACCCGTGCCCCCCTGCCTCGGCAGCAGGAGTCTCCCAGGCCCTACCTGGAGCCAGATGTGCTCCTCCCCACCCCAGTACATCAGCCCCTTTTGAGGAGAAAGGAGTGTCACCAATGGGCATGTAGGCTCAGCCCATGGGACTCGGGGTGACACTGGGACTTTGCTTCACTCCTGTGCAGTCCAACTGTATCCCTGTTTCCTACTAGAGTTCCATCTTGTCACTTCTCAGAGACACAGATGCCCACTGACCTAGCTCCAGCCGTGCTCCCCACCTCCCGGGGGGACATGCTTGGCTTCGGGACCCCCCTCCTTGGTCATCTTTTGTTTTGCTTTGTTTGGGCTCTATACCCAGCAGTGCTGAGGGCATTCTCCTGCTCTGCACTCAGGGATCGCAGCTAGTGGGGCTCAGGACCATATGGGGTGCCGGGGATCGAACCTGCCTCCGCCTCACACAAGCGCCCACCCCGTTGTGCTATTGCTTTGGTCCTCCGTCACCTTCTGAGGACCCCTAGTCTCCCTCCTGGGCTCCCAGCCTCCCAGCCACCAGACCTCGAGACCTTCTCGGGTGACCCTGAAAGTTCCCAGGCTCCGAGGGTGCTGAAGAGCGTCAGCGGGGACAGGCGGCTCCACAGACCAGGCTTGTCCCGGCTGAGGAGCTCCTGCTAGATCCAGGAGATGGATCCCAGAGCTTGGCCCCTGCCCCTCCCGAGCCCCCTCCCGAACAGCGCAGCAGCCGCCAGCACCCCACTGCGAGCCCGAGCTCTGGCGCGGGTGCCAGCCAGGCTCGGGGGGAGTCACAGGCCCTCTCGCATCTATTTCAAGGCTCTGGGTTTCGTGGCTTTTTTTTTTTCCCTTTAACCACCCTGCAAAGTAGGTCACCTGCTCCTCTTCAGCTGCCTCTGAGCTGCTCTGGAACAAGGCAGATACTATCCTTTGATCCGGAAGGCGTCTGCCCCTCTGGCCCTGGGTACCAGGAAGGGGCTGAGCCAGTCCAGGAGGGCAGCAGCCAGCCCGAGACCTGGCTCGGGAGACGGGGAGAGGCTGGGCAGGCGGAGCCCCGCGGCTGAGCCCCATCCGGCTTGAGGACCCGGAGCAAGCCAAGTCTCAGGCTAGTCCCAGCTAGGCCCCGACGGTGCAGACACAACCTTCCCCAGCCACGGTCTCTGGGTCTCGGAGTCACCTAATCTGTCTTTCCAGGGGGTGGCCGGAGACCTATGACATGAATACCTCGGAGCCCAAGACCGAGCCAGAGAGCTTGACCCTGGGGGGCCGGCCCCCCTACCGCAGCAACGCTCCCTGGCAGTGGAGTGGGCCCGCGTCCCACAACTCGCTCCCCTCCTCCAAGTGGGCCGCTCCTGCCACCCCGGGCCATGTCCAGTCCCTGAGCCGGGCCCCGAAGCAGACCCCCATGGTCCCCTTCCGGGAGTCCCAGCCCCTGCACGGCAAGAGGTAAGGACCACACTCACCCCCCTTCCTGCCCTGCCCCTCCCCCTCCCCTCTCCCAGTGTCTGCCTCCTTGCAGCCCTGCTCACTTCCACTCTGTCCGATAGCTCTCCCCCTCACTCCTTCCTCCCTTCCTTCTCTTCCTTTCTACCCGGAGCCTACCAGTACGCGATACTTTCTACCGGTACGCAAGGGAGAAGCCCCGTGCTGGGAGCTCCGAGTCTGAGGGTGGAGAGCCACCCTGGCATGTAGGATCAAAGCTATTTTTAAAAAGATCCAGGCACTGATAAGCTCAAAATCTAGGTGAGAGATTCCCGGTTGGGGGAGGCAGAGGAGAGGGGCGTAGGAAAAACCTGTGGGGGTGACCCCCAATCTAGCTCCTGACCTTGGAGTTCATGGTGATGGCCTTTGCCCTCCCTCCATGTGCTCTCTGGACCCTCTTATGTCCTGAGAGACAAAGAACCTTTTCTAAGACGTGAAGGAGTCGGAATGTCTTGTCCCTGGAGCGAGGGGGGGGGGGTGAGCGTGCGGGGGCCGCGAGGCTTCCGGCCGCCTTTTCTGCACAGCTCTGCCTTCACTTCCTGGGAGGGAGAGCGGGTGAGGCAGAGAGCCTGAGGGAAAGGGGTGGCCCTGTCCTCTCCCTCACCCCTGCCGCTGACCTCCCTTCCTTCTCTCCTTCCAGGCCTGTCAGCTTCCCAGAAACCCCTTACGCAGCGTCACCAGCAGGGGGCGACAAAGTCCCTCCCTACCGACAGCCTTCTGGGAGTTTCTCCACCCCCGGCTCTGCCACCTACGCCAGATACAAGCCATCCCCAGAAAGGTCAGAATCCTTCCCTCTTTCCAAATGCAGGAATCAACCGGATGGAAGCTGGAGTGCCTCCGTCCCCGCAGCACGCACACACCCCAGGGTTTCTGGGCCTGCTCCGGGGATTTCTAGGTCCCAGGAGGGCTGGGCGGAGACCAGTGGGGCCCGGTCAGCATCAGGGCCCAGCTGACCCGCATGAGACTCACCCTTGGCTTTTCTTGCAGCAGAAGTTCCTTTGCCGTTTTTCTTGACACACTGACCTCCCGTCCCCCCACGAGAATGGCCCTCTTGGTACCTTCTGTCTGTTCCCCTTGCCCACCCCCTCCCTGGGACCCTGTCTGGGAGGGGGTGATGCCCCTGGATTCAGGCCAGAGCGTGGGCCTCCCTCACCCTCTTCCCCTCTACTGTGCTCCCCCACAGCCTCCGGAGTCTCGCACCCAGCCCGCTGCCTCCCGCCTCTCCTCCCCAGTCCCCCAGCCTGACTCACCCCCGCTCCGCAGCAGGGAACTTGCCTTCTGTCCCAAGTGTCTGTCTCTGCTCCACTACTTTCTCGCATCCTCGTTGCCATGTGGCCACCCGCGACCAGGAGTATCCTTATTCCATTAGCCCCCAGGGACAGGGGTACGTGTGCAGGTTCAATTCCCCTGTTTCTGCTTTGTGTAACCATCACAAAGGCCCAGGGTCTGGCTCATGGAAGATCCCTGATCCCCTATTTTGGTTTTTTGTTTGTTTGTTTTTGTTTTGGGGCCACCCCCAGTGATGCTCAGGGGTTACTACTGCCCTCTCACTCAGGAATCACTCCTGAATGCCGGGAAATAAACCCTGGGTCAGCCATGTGCCAGGCAAATGCCCTACCCTACTGTACTGTAGCACCAGCCCATAATCCACTATGCTTGATGGAAGGGTTCCTGGGGCCCGGCTGCCAGCCCGGGGTGCCACACTGCCCCCCGGTCTGATTCTAAGCCTGTCCTGCTCTTTGGGAAAATAGACTCACCTGTTTTCCTCCTCCATGACCAGTATTCAGCTCTCATTCAGCACCGAGTTCCCGAGCGTTCTGTGTGCTGGGGCTGGGAGAGAGATTAGGGATACTTATCCGGGGTTCCCAGTTCGGTACAGCTTACCTAGGGTGCACACTGCTGAGCTTCGTAATAGACCCAGCCCTTGTGAGGTCTGGACTGGCTGCCTAGAGGAGGTGATGTTTGAACAGGACTTTGAGAAATTCGAATTGCCAGAGAGAAGAGGGAGCAAATCATTCCAGACGGAGCAAAGACTAAGCAAAATAGTGTGTCATGCAGGAAGAGGAGAGGTGAACCGGGTGGGCGGCAGCTGGCAGCAGAGAGGGGCAAGGCTGGAAACAACACTTGGCCCAGAGCAGGTAGCCAAGGACAAAAGTGGTGGGGGTGGTGTTACTGATAACTCCCTCTTGCTTTTCCTTTTCCCCAAAAATCCTCCTTAATATCAATTTTAAAAGTTTTTTTTTCCCCCGGGGCTGGAGTGATAGTACAGCAGGTAGGGCATTTGCCTTCTCGAGGCCAACCTGGGTTCGATCCCTGGCATCCCATATGGTCCCCTAGAGCACCTCCAGGAGTGCAGAGCCAGGAGTAACCTCTGAGCATCACCACACACTCATGCCCCCAAAAAAGGAAAGTTTTATTTTTCCTTCAAGAATTCCTAACCACCTCCCCCATGAACATTTTTAAGTAATTATAGATCCACAGGAAGTTATGAAACATTTTACATGTGAGGATTCTGAAGGGTACCTGAATCCTTGGGTGCCTTCCTCAATCGTAATGGGCTCACAGGACGCTGATACAATCTCAGAGCAAGGAAACAGCAGTTCTTTTTAAGGGCCCTGGGAGCTCGCTCAATAGTCTGGAGTACATGCGTACTTTGCATGCGTATGGTCTGGGTTCAGTCTCTGCTTGGTCCCCAGAGCCCCACTGGGAGGAACCCCTGATCACTGCCAACTGTGCCCCCCTCCCCAAACAAATATGATTCCCAAAGTTCCTGTTGCTGCATGAAGGTTACCACAGCGTGTGTCTAACTACCTTCACCAGAGTGTGTAATACATGTACAAGTGACTTTTATTTAAAGCCCTGCCATTTGTTACAACATGGATGAACGTAGGAGGCCTGAGGCCAAGTGAAATCAGTCTCACAAAGGAAAACAGACCCATGATACAGTAACACAAGTGGAATTTTTTTTTAAATAGTTGGATTCCTGGAAATTTGAGATAAAATGAATGTAGAAAAGGAAGAGATGTGGATCAGAGACTCCAAACTCTCAGTCACAAAGTGAACAAGGTTCCAGACTGTCGAGTCAGTGAATCCTCACCCTGCGTTATCACTGGCTTCTAAGAAGCTTGAGTGTACGGTGGAGTAGCGGTTAACAAAAGCAGGGCCAGGACCTGGAGCGATAGCACAGCAGAGAAAGCGTTTGCCTTGCATGCAGCCAACCCGGGTTCAATTCCTTGCACCCCATATGGTCCCCAAGCACCGCCTGGAGTAATTCCTGAGTGCAGAGCCAGAAATAGCCCCTGAGCATTGCCGGGTATCACCCGAAAAGCAAAAAAAAAAAAAAGAAAAGAAAAAGGCAGGTCCTTGGACCTCGGATACTGTATTTGTGTTCAGCCGTGTCTTGCTGAAGTGATGCCAAGCCATAATTATTCAGGTGCCTGCTTGGTGACTGCAAGTTAATAACTCTGCATGGCTGACTTAACCTCTGCGCGTCAGTGGCTCCACATCTGCTTAGGAGATCTACTGGGTTCACTCGTCATATCTGTGATGTCAGTGCTGCACGTTCTTGACCACCAAAGAACCTAAGTGTGAAGTGATAACCACTCTTAACGGATGCCTCAGTGATTGGTGCATCCAGCCATGCCACCTCTACCACCAGCCTCGTCGCCTCTGCTCCAGTAGGTGCCTGTCGGTGGCATTGAGAGAGGTGTCTCTTGAGTGTCTCTGCTCAGGGAGGACGAACCGTGTTCTCCAGCCAATGACAGAGCTGCCTGCCCTGTACTGTACAGACAAGTAAAGGGCCCCAGGAGCCTGGTAGAGGGTGTAGCGCCCTCTCCCACCCCCACTCTGACCATACCCAAGCACCAACCCATCGGGCCTGGTCTGCTGGGCTGGGCTTCTGCGCCCTCACCTACTTGGTGGTGCCGCTGTATTTTCTTTTACTATTATTATTCCTTTATTATTATTATTATTTTTGGACTGGAGCACTAGCACAGCGGGTAGGGCGTCTGCCTTGCATAAGGCCAACCAGGGTTCGATTCCTCTGCCCCTCTTGGAGAGCCCAGCAAGCTACTGAGAGTATCTCGCCCACATGGCAAAGCCTAGCAAGCTCCCTGTGACATATTCAGTATGCCAAAAACAGTAACAAGTCTCACAATTTGTTGTGAGACGTTACTGGTGCCCACTCGAGCAAATCACTGAACAACGGGAGGACAGTGACAGTGATTATTCCTTTTATTATTTCCTGAGGCCACATCAGGTGGTGCTCAGGGCTTATTTAGCCTGGCTCTGCACTCAGGGATCACTCCTGGTGGGCGCACACGAGGTGCTGGGATCAGATCGGGGTCGGCCATTGCAAGGCAAGCACCCTACCCGCTGGGGTCACTCGCAGCCAGGGGCCTTTGAGATCTTCGGGTCTGTGTGAGATGACCCCTCCACATGTGTGTCCTCCTCTCAGCAGATGGACACCAGGTTCCACCCCACCCCTCAGACCATGCCTGTTCTTGGTGCAGTTAAACCCCCAGCGTCCCCCCAGCCCCTCGGGTCCTCCTTATCCTGCCAGGCCAGAAACCGACACTGGCCGGCAGGTGCAGGGAAAGCTGCTGACGGCAGCCCCCCCTTTCCTCCAACCTCCAGGAGCCTCCTAGTGGGGGTCTGCCCCAGCACCCTGGAGGTGCCCCTTGCTGAGTGCTCCAGACCCTCAGTGACCTCCCTCAGCACGTCCGCTCACTCTTGCCTCCCCCCTGCACAGCCCTGCACAGCCTCCCGCCGCCATGACCCAGGGTCTCACATGCCAGCACTCAGCCCTGTGCTTGCCTCCCCTCCAGGTACGCGGCCGCCCCCCACCCACTGCTGTCCTTTGATCCCCACTTTGGCCTCGATGGGACGTCCAGCGGCGAGTCCTCCTCAGGCGGCCTGACCAGCCAGGAGAGTACCATGGAGCGCCAGAAGCCAGGTAGGCCCCACACTGGGCACCAGGGACAAGGGGAGGCAGAAGGCTGTGGGGGCCGCGGGCAACTGAGCCGCTCCCAGGGTAGCTGGCCACGTGCCGTGGGGCAGTGGTGCCAAGAGGCCAGAGGGACCTGCGGGGAGCCTTCCCAGTGCCTCAGGCCTCCCGGACCCTGACTCAGCCTCAGTTCATTCCAGCCACTTGGGTGGACGTGAGGATGGGGACGCATCATGGACTTACTTAGAATTCCTTTTGAGGAAGTAATACTCGGCCAAGCCAGGCTGATAGTTCATGGCAAGCCTGGGAACCAGCAGCTCTCCCCCAGGGGGGCTCAGACCGCCAGGCGGTGCCAGGAGTGGACCCCACCGATTCTGCTACTCCGCCTCCTGGCCCCCCACACCGTGCAGTTTCACTGACTAGTTCCTAATGCCCTGGGGTTGGTTTGGTTTTGGATATCCCACCTGGCACCACTAAGAGATTACTCCTGGCTCTGCACTCAGGGATCACTCCTGATAGAGCTGGGGGGACCCTAGGGGGCTCCAGGATCCAACCTGCGTTGGCCGCGTACGAGGCAAGCGCCTTCCGCGCTGGACCACCCATCCGGCCTTTCCTTTCGTCCTGATTAGTGCAGTGGCCTCCAGTGTCTTTCTTCTCCATTTACTCTCCGTGCTGGGGGATTGAGCCCGAGCAGGGGCCTCTCCCGTCAGTATCTTCTGCAGTTTCCAACATCTTAGATTTATAATGACGAGGTAGGCTCCAGAAACCAGTTGCATGTCCAGGTGTCGACGTTGGAGATAGACACAGCATCTTTCGAGCTGTTCCCACCTCTCTGCTGCTGTCCCAGGCAACTAGGGAGGTGACCGTGTTGGCCTGTCACCAGTTCCTGGGATAGAGAGTTCCGGAAGCAGGATGCCTGCCCATCCTGCTACCTCGGGCCTGGGGCCTGTAGACTCCTGTCACCACCTGCAGGGCGGAGCCTCTGCTCCCTCCTGATCTACATCTTGTTCCTCCCCACACAGCCCAGAAAGACACAGAAGTGTTGCTTGTGATCTCAGGACACCAGAAGTATATAATGGAATGAGGGTAGGGGGCGGCACCGCACGTGTCCCCAGATCAGATGTCTCAGAAACGCCACAAGCTGTGACCCTCAGGGTCTGCTCAGCCATCACAGGACCTTGGCCCTGTTCCCCAAAGGATCTGGCATTGCCTGGTTCTCTTTTCTCCAGTGCTCAGACATCCTGGCAATACAATAGTGGCACTAGAGCTGGCCTCAGTTAATGGGGGAGCCAGAGCACAGGGGTCCTTGTGGAGGTCCCTGCAGATGAGAAGTGTCAGCAGGAGTGAACCAAGGCCCTTGACCCACACTCAGAGGTGCCAGAGTCTCCACTGCCCTATGTTCCCTCGGCTGTGGTTTCAGGAGTGTGGGAGGTCGCCGGGAGGGTGAGGGGCACAGATACCAGGTCAGAGAGAACATTCCAGGGAGAGTGGGAAGGAGGTCATTGAAGACCCCGCAGGGGCAGCCTTTCTGGGGTTGGAGGAGCAGTGGGGGCCTCGGGACAGGAGAACTGGGGGAAGCAAGGACACAGGTGGCAGGTCAGAATGGAGGACAGAGTCTTTGTCCTCTGCGCAAGCCTGGTGCTGTGGTTCTTCCAACGGAAGTGTGTGGGATACAGCGTCAGGTTCACAAGGGTCCTCTGGCTGCGACTCTTTTTGAGGGTACAGTGCAGGGAAAGAGGGACAGATCTAAATGTGGTCACATGGAGGGGGAATGAGGAGTTTCCTCATGCCTCAGCATGATAACAGTGGTAAAGGGGTACAAGGGTTGTGGCCTGAACAGCCAGAAGAAGAGAGCTGCCCTGGGCAGGGGAGATGGGAACACAGGGAGGCGGCATAGGCTCAGTGAGAGGGGATACCGCTGGGAAGGAGGTCTAGAGTCAGCAGAAGTCAGAAACTGGGGGGCTGTAGGGCTGCCAGGTTGAGCAGAGGGGGTGTGGGGAGCACCGGGTGGTGCTGAAGACCCTGTGGGAGTGTGGGCTCCTGACATCTTCTGCTCACTGCCCAGGAACCGACACAGGGGCACAAGAGCAAAACTGTCCCCAATAGAGCAGGGGCAGGAGCCGCCCTGCCCTTCCACACCCACAACCTGCGCCATCCATGACCGTGCTACCCAGTGTCTGGCACCCGGCCCACCTCCAGCAGGATCCTGGGACCCTAAACACCCCAGGGCCACCCTGGAGGCAGCTGCCACGGTGGTTGTGGGTATCTGGGGCTTCTGGGTGGGTTGTGCCACCCGGCAGGGGCCACATCTCACCAGCGGGCATTCATCGTGCCTTCTTCCTTGTGGGCTTAGGGCATCCCACGAGGTCACTCCTGAGGGGCCCGTCACTAGGAGAAAGGCGACTCCTGCTGAATGCTGTTCTCCCAGACGAGGGTCACAGTCCCCGGTGCAAGAAGGGCGGGACCCTCCAGCCTTCCTGAGCACTGGCTCCTCCAGGTGAGTCATGGCTAACCGCTCCTCTGTCTCTGTCTCCCTGCAGAGCCTCTGTGGCATGTGCCCGCCCAGGCCCGGCTCACCGCCATGGCTGGAAGCTGCGGGAGCAAGCACGCCTCCCGGCAGGACACAGCAGGCAAAGATTCTCCCAACAGGCATTCCAGAGTGAGTCTGGGCCCCGCCCCCTGCTCCGGGTGTGGGCACCCCCCACATTCCAGAGTGAGTCTGGGCACCCCCTGCCCCACCCTGTCTCTCTTGGATGTGGGCATCGCCCACCTCTGCTGGCCCCACCCGCCCGCACGGCCTTCCTTCACCAGCCTTGTCATCCCTCGTTGCTCCATCAGTCTTGGTGGGTGACGTCTGCTTTGGCTGTTGGTAACAAAACTACCGCAGCTGATGGAGAGATGGTAGGATGTTTCTGCCCGTTTTGGAGACTGGAAAGTCGAGAACGAAGGTTTGGGCAGACCCAGCATCCGGTGAGGACCCCTTCCTGGTTTGCAGGTCGCAGCCTTCTCACCTGAGCCCCAGGAGTCAGAGAGTTCTCTGGGGGCTAGAGTGATAGCACAGTGGGTAGTCTGTTTGCCTTGCACACGGCCAATCCGGGTTCGATTCCTGGTATTCCATATGGTCCCCCAAGCACCACCAGGAGCAATTCCTGAGTGGATGAGCCAGGAGTAACCCCTGTGCATTGCTGGGTGTGACCAAAAAAAAAAAAAAAAAAAAGCTCTGGTCTCTTGCAGAGGCCCTAAACACAAATCAGGCCTTCAGAACCATCTTTCTGGAGCCGGTTATGCCCAGGCCCTGCCACCTAATGTAGTGACTGGGTACGAGAGTCCAAGAGAGGAATTGTGGGGGCAGCAAACATTGCACCGCACTAGCCTGACAGTTCCCAGGTCCCAGTGACCACAAATAGCACCCATACACCCTCCTCCAACAGCAGCTGGGCAGGCGTCCGGTGAGGACTTACTGTCTCCTGTGGCTTCACTGCCCCTTGAGGCTCAGCTGCCAGCATGAGGCAGGGCGGGAGAGAGGCTTATAGGGGACGTGGAACAGCCCAGGTCTAGAAACAGCGGAAACCACATCCCGTGACATCACAGCGGCCGCAACACGCACACACCCTACGCCATGGGGGATGCTGGGAAATGGCCTCCTGTGTGCATGGCAGCCTCTCCTCAGCCACCCAACAGTGGTGTTGCATGGCCCTTACGCCACACCCAGCTCTGGGGCCACGCGTGGCAGGGACAGACGCAGCCCTGTTGCTGTGAGACCGCCACAGGGCAGGCCTAACACGATGGGATGACGCCAACAACCGATCCCTGCTGTGAAGGGAAACCAAAGCCCAGCCTGGTGGGGGTGGGGGGAGCGTCTGGTGAGGACCAGGCACACAGGGAAGGCCACCTGGGAAGCTTGAGGGGAGGGCACCAAGGGCAGGGGTGCCAGCCAGTGTCCCGAGCGAGCATGATGAGGGATCCGAGTCCTGAGTGTGGGACAGGAGCAGGGCCATAACCTGATGCAGGGGGTTCACAGCCTCCCTCCAGCATGCGCAGGCACCAGAGAGGAGCCAGGAGGCCAGGAGAAGGAGCTGTGCTGGGCAGCCTCCCGGCAGTGCCAAGGAGCCAGAAGTGGCGGGTTCTGAGTCTCTTCTGATGATGCAGGAGGATTCGCATTGCTGACTGGCCACGGGCAAGAGCAAGGTCTGGGGCAACTAGTCAGACGCCAGACAGCTTGAAGGTCGCAGGCAAGGGCCGGGTTCGTGGCAGGGTCCGCAGGCTGCACTGACAATCTCTGGTGCCCCTCTGAGAGACAGGGAGGGTGTCTGCCCCATTTCACTGATGTGCACATGGTGGGGTTGGTGACCAGACAGTGGGGCTGGAGCTTCCGGCCAACCACCGGGTTCCGCTGTAGGGGGCCCGGGAGCCCAGGGCTGACACACTCGTCTCGCCTTCCAGGGAGAGCCTCAATACTCCAGTCACTCCAGCAGCAACACGTTGTCCAGCAACGCGTCCAGCAGCCACAGCGACGACCGCTGGTTCGACCCTCTGGACCCCCTGGAGCCCGAGCAGGACCCCCTGTCCAAGGGCGGCTCCAGCGACAGTGGCATTGACACCTCCCTCTACACCTCCAGCCCCAGCTGCGTGTCCCTGGCCAAGGTGCCTCGGCCCACAAAACCCCACAAGCCCCCCGGAAGCCTGGGGCTCTGTGGGGGCGGGCGCGAGGCAGTGGTGCGGCCTCATCACGCAGACCGGCGCCGAGAGGTCTCCCCAGCCCCCGCAGTCGCCAGTCAGAGCAAAGGCCACCGAGCAAAGCTCTACTCGGGCACCAGCACGCCAACTGGCCTGGCGGGGGGCAGCCGCGACCCCCCAAGGCAGCCCAGGTAAGACCCTATGGTTGGGGATTCCCAACCCCCTTGCCCTTCCCCCACAATCATCCCGACAGAGGGGTTCCCCTCCTCCAGAAGCATGCCCACGGTGGGGGGGGGGGGGGGCTGCTGACACACTCACTTGCAGAGGGGAGAGAGGGGCGCTCACGAACCCCATTACCCTGTTCGTTCCCCATCCATCAGCCTGCAAGGCACGTCGAGTCTGGTTCACCCAGACCTTCTGTCTCTCCCACTCTCCCCGCCGAGACCAGTGGTCCATTTTCTGAGCTCTCAGAAATGAGTTTAGACCCGGGTTGAGGCCGAGAGCACAGGGCAAGCCCACTGCAGCAGGTAGGGCAGGCAGGAGGGGGCCAGGGGGGTGAGAGTGCCATCTTGACTGAGAGCCCCACAGAGGCATGAGGCAGGGTAGAGGAGCTCGAGGGCTGGACTGGCCCACATCAGCTTCTCAGACCCCCTCCTGGAGAGCAGGCTGGGGGTGGGGGGGCCTTCCCTCCCAGGTCTTCTCTCTCCTCTCTCTCACCACCGCCAACCCCCACCCCCCCAGAGATTCCCAGACAGGCCACACCCGCCCCACCCTCTGGCTTCACCCAGCAGTTTCTCTGCTACCTCAGGCCCTGGTCCCAGGCAGGGGCTCAGACCCCCTGGACCTCTGCCAGCCACCCACCCCATCCTAATAGAATCTTTTTAGCTCCGCATCACTCCAAATCTGACTCCTGACCGGGCGGTGGATGGTGGTTCACTGACAGGTTCGGACCCCCGTGGCACCAGCACCATAGGTTTGCGGGAGGGGGCGGAAAGAGGAGGCGCCCTGTGAGTCCGGCTGGCCCGTCTCTGCCCCCCTCCCTCTCCTGCACAGCCCCTGCTCTCAGCCACTCATCCCGCCTGCATCAACCAAGGGAGGCCTGAGAGTGTCAGCTCAGCGCTGGCGGGGCACCCACCCCAGCCGCCCGGGACTCCGTTCCTCTGTGGGGACCCACAGGACTGGAGAGACAGCTGCGCAGGGAGGAGACGGGGCTGAGGCAGGGGGGTGGGTCTAAAATTACCCGGTGTCTGAGAGAAGGATCTGCTGAACCCAGAAATGAAGGGAATAAAATGGGAGAGGAGCCGGTGCGAAAGAGGGCCTGCGCTGCGCTTTAATTTGCATGCAGACAATTGATGCTAATTGCAAATCATTCTTATCTACTCATTAAAGCCGCTTCCTGAAGTTTTCTCCTAGGCAACCAAGCTCTAGTGTGGAACCGCACTTCCCAAAATGGGGTGCTCACAGGCGATTTGGGTGGTGCCGGGAGGAAAGTATTTCCTTTTAAATGGATACATGTTTACTTTAATGAGTATTGGGAAGAGTGTTGCCCTGCTTCTACTGACAGCGCCTTGACAAGTTAAGGGAAATTAAGTGAGCTGATTTACAGAAATGTATTGGGAGCCGAGGAGGGCGGGACCTGAGTGGGGGGGCACACCCACCCCTCAGCCAAGGCTGCCTAGCCTGGACTGAGGTCAGAACCTCTCTGGGCCTCAGTTTCCTCAGCTGTAAAAGGGGGTGTAGTAGAAAGATCCCGTCCACCTCAGAGGACTGAGGTGAGGATTGTCAAATAAAACACTGTCCTCCCGTTGTTCATCGATTTGCTTGAGCGGGCCCAGTAACGTCTCCACTGTGAGACTTCTTGTTACTGTGCTTGGCATGTTGAATACTCTCAGTAGCTTGCCAGGCTCTCCAAGAGGGGCAGAGGAATCGAACCCGGCTCGGCCGGCTGGCTGCGTTCAAGGCAAACGCCCTACCGCTGTGCTATCACTCCAGCCCTGAGTATAGCGCACAGGGCATTTGCCTTGCATCTGGCCGACCCACGTTCAATCCCCCGCATCCCATATATTCCCCCAAGCACCACCAGGAGTAATTCCTGAGTGCAGAGCCAGGAGTAACCCCTGGGACCCCAAAAGACAAAACAAACAAAAATCTGAGTTCCTCTTAAAGCTCAGTTGTCAAAACAGTTCACAACCAGGCAGCATCCATCTAGCAATAGAAAAGTGTTTCCAAAAGTTGCACAGAGTCCCTGCAGGCAGGGAGAGGCAAGACACGGGCAGGCGGGGTTCAGGGGCAGCCACTTCCACCAGAATACCTCTGGGTAGGTCTGGGGCATGCACTTTCCTTTGGGGAGTGGGAAGGGTGACTTGTCTGGTGCTGACCATGAAGTTCCCTCCTGACCAGTCTGGTCCATAACCCCAGGCAGAGTTTCAGATCTTCTGAAGGCCAAGAGGATGTTTAGGTGTGGGGGTAGGGGGGGAGCTTAGTCTGCATGCCTCCTAGTTGGGCTGGCGTGTCCCACCTAACAGAGTTAAGTGACCCATTGCACATGGAGTCTTAGAGCAGTGCCCAGCAGTGGACATCCCGTCCATGCCTGGGTGGTCATTCGACCCACAGGGAATGTGATAAACAGAATGAGGCTGCCTCAGACTGACTGAATTCACAGTCAGCCCCACCCAGCCGCCCTCCATCTCTCCCCAACCAGCTAGGACACTCGAGTTTGTCACCATGCCAGGGACAGCAGGGACAACATGAGGCTTGGTGGAGTGGGGGAAACAGATCTCTTCCCATTAGTGATAGCCCACCCAGTTAGGGCCAGGGGAAAGGAAGCACCCAGACAGTGGGAGCCCAGTGGCTGGAGTGATAGTACAGTGGGCAGGGGGTTTGCCATGCACACGGCTGACCAGGGTTTGATTACTGGCACCCCATAGGGGTACCTAAGCTCCTCTAAGAATGACCCCTGAGCACAGAGCCAGGAGTACGCACTGCTGGGATGACCCAACCGCCCCCCAAAAAAAAGAAGAAGAAAGAGAGAGGCCAGCTAGAGTGATAATACAGTGGGAAGGGTGCTTGCCTTTCATGCAATCCCCAGTATCTGCTAAGGCCCACCAGGAGGGATTCCTGAGTGCAGAGCCAGGAATAATCCTTGAGCATCACCATGTGTGACCCAAACAACTGCTCCCCCCCTCACACCCAAAAGAAAAAGGAGGGAGGGAAGGAAAGAACAGAAGGAAGGAAGAAGCTAGCTAGCTAACTGGGAGCACAGCAGGCCTGACCAAGTGTGGAAGAAGCTTCCCTTCCCTGGAGAAAAGCGGCCAGTGCCCCAGAACTCACAGCCCCACCCTGCTGCCCTCCACCTTCCCCGTCCCCTGACCCCTCTCCATGGGCACAGGGAACCCAAGGGCCCAGAGGCCGGGGAGCTGAATGGAAAGCCTGTGCCTCCGAGCATGTGGGCAGGCCCGGTGTGTGAGCGGCACCGCCCTTGGCTCTGCCTCCCCGGCCCGTGTGGGAAGCTCCCGGCCTGTGTTCTCTCAGCCGCCTGCTGGGCGCCGGGGTGCAGGCCAGACCCCCTGGCAGCAGCAGTGAATGGATGGTGCCGGGAGAAGCCTGCAGCAGAGCCCCCCGGGCTGGGGCTGGGGCCACCCTGATCTCGCTTGCCTGGGTCTGGGGATCACTTCCCTGAGGAGTCAAGAGACGGAGGAGGAAAGGGAGGAGCAGGTGAAGTGGTTTGGGGACTGGGGGGGGTGGTTCTGGGGGTTCTGGTCCAGTCTTGATCTGAGATTTGGCGATGTGGGCTGGAGAGTTCTTACAAGTGTGTGTCGTTTCATTGCTATCACCGCCCATAGGATTGCCCGGTGGGGGCGGTTTTCCCTCCTCGGTCTCCTTTCCTTCCCCCAAGAGTAATTTGCCCTGCTCAGCCAGCGGGGGGCGGCGAGCAGCACGAGCTGCGTGTCCAAGTGTTTGGGTTTGTTTGTTGCTGTTGTTTTAACTGTTTCTGGAGGTAACACTGGCTTACAGGATTGTGAGTGTTTTTAGGGGTACCAGGTTCTCACCCCAGCTCCACATGTTCATGTCCCCCAGTTCTGTGGTCAGTCTAGGGGTTTGGTTCGACTGGCCCGCGCCCGTGCCAGTGGTGCCATATCCCACACCGGCGTGAGCTCATCCCGGGGTCTGTGTCTGCTGCCAGTTCCTGGCTTGTTTTCCGGGACCACACCCGGCAGTGCTCACAACTTACTCCTGTCTCTGCCCTCGGGGATCCCTCCTGATGAGATCAGGGAGACCTTATGAGATGCTGGGGATTGAATCCGGGTCAGCCTCCTGCAAGACCAGCGGGCCTCCTCCTGGTTTATTTCACACATTCTGTGGGTGTCCTACCTGACACTCACTTGGGTATGGGGTAGGGAGGGAGTCCCACCAGACTGCCCCCCCTCCACCAAAGATGCCAAGAGAGGGTCTCTAGGTGACCCCACTTCTTTCTGATATGGCTGCAAATCAGGGTCCCCAGTTTCCAGTGATTTGTGAGGACGACCCACAGAGCTGCAGGGAACAGTCGCCTCTGCTTGGCCAGGTGACCAGCCAGGTGACTGGCAGGCAGAAGGGGGGCACTGTAGGGTGGGCCAAGTACTGGACCCTTGAGTGCATGCTCTTCACCAGCACCTGCACGTGTTCAGCACCCAGAAGTTCCCCAAGCCCCACACAGGGTCCATCTGTAGCTGCGCTTCCAGCCCCGTGTCTTTTCTCAGGAAAGGGGGGTCAGGGTGGGAGAGCCAACCCTGATCAGAGCCTCTGGGCCTCTCTAGTGGCAGCCCTGTACCGGGAACCAGGACAGATTATTAGGTCAAAAGATGCTCTTCAGGGGCTGGAGTGATAGCAGATAGGGCGTTTGCCTTGCACGCGGCCAACCCGAGTTTGATTCCCAGCCCATATGGTCCCCCAAGCACTGCCAGGGATAATTCCTGAGTGCATGAGCCAGGAGTATCCCCTGTGCATCGCCGGGTGTGACCCAAAAAGAAAAAAGAAAAAAAAAAGGACGCTCTCAGGCCAGGAAGATAACTCAGAGGGCTGGAGCACGTGTGTGGACGGGAGGCCCCTGGCAAGACAGGATCCCCTCAGCTTGCCTGTCAGTAACCCCCATCCCCAAAGAAATGCCCCGTTTTATTTAATGTTGGGGGTATAAGTGCTTGTAGTGCTCTAC